ATAGCAGAAATAACGTTGCAAAAAAAAGGTCTATGGGAAGGTAAACGAAATTACCACTTTTAAAAAGTAAAGAAATCACTAAACACTTTGAGAGAAATGAACGACTGGGTTGTTATCGGTGTTTGCGAACTTACGTTACAAATGCGTTCAGACCACCCCCTGTGCTTGTAAATTGGTGTCTTTTATCTTTTATTGTTACGCATTGTAGTTACAACACTGTTATAATTTTCCTTTTTTTTCTTAATTACTTTCCATGACTGTTTGGTTCCAGTTTCGCCTTTTTTTCAGTTCTATATTTTCTTCAATAGTAAATTATTATCTACAGGTCCAAGTATGACGCACATAACGAAAGATACCTTTGTCAACAATGCACATGAGTAATGTATTTATCAGGCACATGAGTACTTATACGTAACTTGATTATTAATTAATATAAGGCCACGAGAGACGTTAGAAGGCGACGCGACACCACCCTCTTCAAGGCCGCAACCGTCCGTAAAGAAAACACGAAAAACTTATGGTAGGTGTTTTTATATCCATTAAGAGGACTATTTCACTTTCATGTATATGCAATTTTTAGTGACTTCTATCGTTTTCATATTCCTACTACGAAGTGTGAACTAGGCACTTCATACAGTGTAGTTCCTACCCGTGCTTCGTCGTTTACGGAATCACCGAACTAGATATCGATTTCAAGAGCCCATACAAGTATTAGACAACAGTTCTTCAACTGTGATTACGTGTTTGTTTTGATATTAACCTTTTGAAATTTCGATATTTAGCATAATTCACGCTTAAGGTACGTAAGTCAAGCTCAACATAAGTCACGTTTTTTTCCCTCTCTACTGTATGTACGCTATTGACAACCGAGTTCAGTGTTGACAAGTTTTATGTTAAGCATGGCTTTGCAATCTACACCGTTTACATGAACCAAAACTGCTATCGGCAATGTTAAATGTGGTCACCTAATAAGTAGCTATCTACTGTAATATCGGAAATGTGCCAGCAATTATCCTACTGCTCTAATCAATAGACAGGGGGCGTCACACCAGAATTGTACACAACAATAATAATAATAATAATAATAATAATAATAATAATTGGGATGATGATTAACATCTGCAGTAACACCCAGGGCAACAACCCTGGGGTGTAGGAGTTTTACCAAAAAAAAATGTTATCAGTAAATTAAAAGCTTTAAAACAGTATGGACCAATGTCTTGAGAACCTCTAAAAGAATTTTCGTGATAATATATCTACATGTATTAAGATGCTCTAGCTGTTTGAACTTTTGACAAGTTACTTCATATTTCTTTCCTGAAGCAAATAGCAATTCCTTCACATTTCTAAAGTTTTGTATAAAATTCTGAAACAAAGTATCTCTGCTGAGGTTGGCGGCAGGGTTATCATTCTTATCTAACCCCGGGAAAACTATTCTGTGAGCTCTTTGTAGGATTATCGATTCTTACGTTAAAACTAGGACACTGGGGGTCAGATGAGTTCTGTATAGACTTCGGTCGAAGGGCGAACTCTTTCGGGTTAGTTCTGTTTGTTGAAGATTCATGCCAATTCACCATATAGATCTTAAAGGGAAAACAAATATTATTACTGATGTCATATAATCCAATTATATATGACATCTGTAAAGTAGCTCTTCAGAGATGTATCAGAAATAATACTTATTTTTTAGTTCTGTTTGTTGAAATGAGTAACAACGGGGGCAAATGTAAACACCTGTCACACGTTTTTAATGCCCACTCTCTTGATTACTAGAATATAATATTTACCAAAATATGTACCCCTAGCCAATAAAAGTGTCATCGCTGTCGCCATGCATAAACTGAAACGTACAATTATATCATGGATCAATGATCTTTATTCAACTTCTAAAATAATTTTTATCACAAAAATGTACTGATTGTGCAAATAGTGAATAAGCTAACCGTAGTAAAAAATCAAAGTCACATTTTGGTATTTTGTACAGTATCTTCTGGATTGGAGGACGCACGTTACTGTTACGTTTTGCGCAGTGATAGCTCTCCACATACGGGAAGGGCAAAGATAGAACGAGATCATATTTGTTATCGGGGTCATGCCTCAGTTATCTATTTCGGAAGATATCCCACACATTTTAATGAGGTGCTGATCTAGGGATTGAGTTGGTCATTGGGGTGCTTGGATCTGGTTCGCGTATATGTAAATCCAGGCTACAATTGCTTTGGCTGTACGTGGAGTAGCATTATCACGCCGAAACAAAAAAGTGGTCATGACCTCAAAGATATTCTCGACATACTTCCTTAAGTTTCTTTTAAGTTCTTGGATGCATTATCAGAAATTCTAATGTTATGTCCATGTCCTATTCATAATGCTCTTACGTATTGATTAAATGATACGTTTTTTCCTCTGGACGTACATGTGCCTACTAGGGATACTGTTTACATGTAGCCTAAAGATTGACGTAACAGCAAATGATTACTTAAAAATACAATAGCGTTTTTGTGAGCACTTTCATCAACAGTCACAGTAGGAAAAAATGCAGTGCAGCTAGCTCTTTGTTTAATTTTTAATCTGTAACATGTATGTAATGCTCTATAAGATAAAGAGAATATACGTGTACAAACTACCCCGTAGGTACCTCGGTGTTCTGATTCGTTGGTGAACTCTACAAACACAGCGAGGACATTTGTGGATGCTATAGACCCAGGCCAGTCCATAGGTTGCCTCACCTAAAATACTGCACCATCATTCACCTTGTGGAAGACCGGACTGGGTAACAGGGTGATAAGGTGTGTAGTTATTTCACCTAAGGTAGAGCTCATATATTCAGACAAACGCTGTTTTAATGGAAAAGGAATGTACAGCAGCTGAGGTTCGTTACCCTAGGTTCTAGATTTCGATATTGCCAGCTCGATCTTGTTTTCATATATAACCCACATCATCAATATGGTGCTATACATGTACACTGACTTGACACTCAGGGTACCGTTCAATTGCACTATTTGTATTGTACCAGGTGTCATACAAACATGTTGTTAATCTATATAATAGTAAAAATAGTAAATTATGGCACTGTAAATATTGACTATTTTTAGTATCGTGCATTTCATATGTGTGCATTCCATATGTTTGGACCCTTTCTTATTCTGGAGCTATTTGATAAACCCAACCTAAAATTGGAGTTATTTCACTTCCAGGAAAATTTTAAATCTAACTGTAAATTTCAGACGTTTCCCTGATTTAAATTTTAACGCTAGCTCCTTTGTTTTTTAGTAACAACAAAACAGTCATTAAATCCACAACTTCTACGCAATGATATTGCGTGAGACAACAGTAGTTCAGAATGTGCATCATGGTCCTTTTCATAATTTTTATTTCTATATTTTTATTTAGCATGTCTTCAATATTAATCGAACCCACACCGTTCATTGGTGTAGACAGTGACGGGAAACTTTTCGTTCACGACGAAACAGCCGAGGCTCTACAACAGCACAGTAAACCTGTTGTGGTTATCGCTATTGTGGGCAATGATCGTCGAGGGAAGTCGTACTTAATGAACCGACTCGGTTCTACCACCAATGCCACAACGAAGGGTACTTATATATTTGAAGATATTTTAGTAAATTTGTATATCGACTGGCTGTTAAAGTCTCTCTCTGTCTCTCTCTCTGTCTCTCTCTCTCTGAATTATTTGTCTAAAAAATTGAAAGTCGGCCACACACTTATTTAGGTATTTGGGCCTGGTTGACTGACCATCCCACCAGATCAAACGAACACCTGCTGTTACTGGACACTGAGGGTCTGTCCCATGCCACAGACGGCGACGAGAACCGGGACATTCAGATCTTTGTTCTGTCTGTTATCTTCAGCAGCACCCTGATCTACAACTGCCAGGGTGTCATAGATGAGAGCTGTTTAGAACTTCTAGAGTATCCTTTTTGATGATGATTCTTTTTTCATCTGACTTCTCTATTTATTATAATTTATAGGGGGTTAAAAAGTAAAAAAAAATGATAATTTAACCTACAATGTAAAGGGCACTTGGGTAGTAAAATTGCTTTGATGTCTCTTGTTAACTGCGATAACAGCAAGATTTACATGGAAATAATAAATTATAGAAATTATGAATTAGTTTGAAAGTTTTGAAAGCTAACAGTTCACACAGCTTAGTATCTAGGCTCTCTGAACATTTGGTCCTCAGAGTTGACGACGAAGGAAATGTTAGTAATATGGATCGGATTTTCCCTGCGCTGTATTTCGTAGTTAGAGACTTCATGCTGGAATTGGAGATCGACGGACAGCCGTGTACCCCAACAACCTACTTGGAGCATTGCCTCAAAGAGAATGGAGGGCTCGCAGAGAAAACGCAGTTGCGGAACAATTTCCGTGACAAACTGAAATCCTATTTTCCAAACAGGTACTGCTTTCGTTGACTTTTCATCGTGCTTAATGTAAAACCCCTAGCCTGTTTTACCGGTCTTGCGACCACCTGTAGAACGAATTTTGCCGAGTCTCCCTTTTTCATCGTTTCTTACACATTAAGGCTCGTAAAAAGTTAATTGTTTCGAAAGAAACTGCATACACGATGACATTCTAACTTCAGGGCTGTGTGTTTTAGTATTCCTCTGTAGCACCAAATTTCAAGTGCATCTAATTTATTTTTCATGTTGCTGCTTATGGTCTTTGCTTTGCACCCGTTTTTTATTATAGACCGTATAACTGTTTCTATCACTTTTCTTATTTGTAATATTGACTTTTTTGTTTGGTAAATATTGATTGCACTTTTTTTAAATGCTACCTTTGCTTATCCAATTCTTGCCTGATTGTATATTCGTTTGGAAGGACTTTTGATCCCAAGTATTTGAAACGGTTCACTTATTTCAGCTATGTGTCTTTAACTTTGATGTTATAAATTGTCGAGAGTGGGCTTTGCGCAACTGTCATATATTACTTCTGTCTCATCTGCATTCAATCAAATTCCCATTCGTTCGCTTTCCGTGTTAATGCTGGTCACTAATGCTAATCTAGCTTACCATAAAGACTCTGTGGGAGATGGTCCAAAACCTTCCTTAGGTTTGGTGCTGTTTGTCTATATGATCATTGTGATTTGTACTCCCAGCTCATTTTCATCTCAAAAATGCCAACATGTTGACCTCTGATATTTGTAGGATGATTTCCAGTTTTCATATTTGTTCTTTTTTTTCGTTCCATGTTCCGATGGTACATGTCATTCTATTCTTTTGTTTGCAGTAAGTGCGCTCCACAGTAGCTTTATGACGTTCGGGTTTCTCGTTGTCTTCTGCAATTGGTTCAAGGCATTTGACTCAAATACAGCTTATTCGCCCTTTGACAGGTCTTATTCTTCGTCCTGCTGGGTGAGCATCCACCTTCCTCACATTGTCAAAGCAAAATGGGGGAACCGGCTAAGTCGCCGATCACGAACAGGCAGCTCTGCTCGAAATTTCACCGAACATGTCAAATTTACCTAATTTACTTAACATTCCCATTGGTGAAGTAATTCTTAAAATTAAAGGAGATGCTTAAATACAATGCTATTTTATTTTAGATCTGGTGGAAATCGCCCGTAATTGTGTGCTGGCCTTTCGCCAAGATAAGATCCCATCTGTGGAGAATGCTGTGGTAGCTGTTCGCCAGGCAGAGTGCCTGAAGGCAGTAGAGATGGCGCTGCAGGTCTACAAAGTTGCAATGCAAGACACTGTTGAGGAGCTGCCGCTCGCAGAAAATGAGCTTGACGGAAGGCACAGACACTATTTCGATAACTATGCCGAGAAAGCATTTGCAGAGTACGCCATCTTTGATGATGATGGAGAATTTTACAATCGCATGAAGGTGCGTTGCGCTCTCTCTCTCAATTTATTATATTTTATGTTTAACCAATTAAGCTCTGTCAAAACTAATTTAAACCATACCTCGTATGTTATATGTGTTATAAACCTACAGTTTGCACAAAAGTATACGGCTTTATTATATATATTCTTATTTTTATTCATTTTCATTTTCTTTTCATGGACTCGTCGCAAGATGTAGCTTCTTAAATATTTTACTGGAATAATTCCAGACAGACGTCGAAAAGGAGTTCACCATGATCAGTCAAAACAACGAATCAGATGCCTTTCGACTGTACAGAGAAATGTTGGATGTTCTCTTTACCAGCATCGTACAGCCAAAGATCGACGAAGAAAAATACTCTCATTCTAACGGCCATTTTGACTTCATCCAAGACTTACAGAAGGTCTTTGTCCTCTACGACCAGTATCCTGGGCAGAAACCTCCAAATCAACCAATCAGCACCTGTTATAGACGAATATAGTTCAGTGAGAAAAAATGAGTGCTTTTTTCCATTTTTTTTCCTGGCATTTCTTGTGTGTTGCTAGGGTTAATTTTGGTATCAACTAGCAGAGTAGGGTGTAAACTACTGCCAGTTTTTTTTTCAGGACCAGGCACAGGTGCAGTGCAGTCGTGAGACCTCTGGCGGAAGGGTCTACTGACTGTGAGTGGTGCAGTGGTTTGTTTACAAACAGAGGGGTGCACATGTTCAAGTGATGCCGGTAAGACAGCGGAGTTGATGACAGTATATTTTTTTGCCATTTGGAGTTATGTCAGTGTGTCTGCTGTCCATGGAGATGGGAAATGTTTCCCAGAGTTATTTTCTTTATGCAGTTTTGCAGGCATTTCTTAGTATGGTCGTCAATGGGAAATATTTTGGTGGTTTCTCCCCTCCTAAGAAGGGCCCCGCCTACTGCACCCGCCAGGTGAGGGAAGACTTCGAGAACGAGAAGCAGACCCAGACCCAGCTGATTCACCAAACTGCAGGGGCGGTAGCCAAGAAAGAGCAGGAGATGGCGACTGAGCGCGTCCTTATTGAGATGGAGAAACAGCAGAACGCCGAGACAGAGCAGGCCTTGATGGAAACGCTGAGAAAGATAGAAACTAACCGTGAGCAAAGTATGAGAAGACTGGAACAGGAGAGGAGCGAATTGAGGGAGCGGTATGAAGTAAGAATTCGGAGAGGGAACAGCGAGCAGCAACGTGAAATACAAATTAAAGAAGCAGAAGTGCTGAGAATTACCACATAATTGAAAGACCGCGTGCGTTTGAACCAGGAACAATTAGATGCCCACGGAAACCGCACAAATCAAAATGCTGACCAGATAAGGATTCTTCTACAGCAAAAGAGAAATCTCGAAGAAGGGCTTCGACACGTTCAGAACAGAGGGGGAGGAAGTGGTGGTAAGTGCTCCCTTAACAAACGCGCTGGCTTTTCTGGAAAATTCAGTGCGAAAAATAAAACAATGTAGAGTGCCAATATGTTTTCGAATATTTATATCCCACCGTCATATTTAACATTTTGTATTTATATAATATTTGTAACGACTACAACTATGCTTTTGCATATATCATCTGCCTCTTTGTAGGTTGTGCTGTGATGTGACGAGTTGCAGTTACTATTTCGTGGTTATTCACTGAACGCTGCTGTGAAAAATCTCATTTTTATCACCTGTGCAAAACATCAGAGATTCAAAATGAGCATATATAATCGACTGGAATATAGACTAAAGAAGAATGAGGAGAGAGGATGAGATGAGAGAAGTTCCAAAAAAATGAAGGGAAATGCATACGAATTTATCTTTACAGACGATAATAGATCAATATACGATGAAGTACATTGTTACTATCAACAGGAACTTATTTATAGATTTTAAAATCTTGTTCCACTCTTTTTTCCTTTTTTTCGTGGCCGATTTACTATTTGCACAATGAATCTGTGACTAAATGTAGTATGAAGTGAACTGTTTTATTAAAATATATCCATATTTTTAGTTGTATGTTTGTTTATAAAGTTATAGAAAGTAGATGTATAAATGTGAATGAGAAAAAAGACATTACACACCCGCTACTTGGACTGGTCTGGTCTAGGACCCTTAACTACATGTATCATTAGCAAAATATCATGGGCTTAGCTGCTGCAAATTGCTGCAATATTGCTGCAACTTGCAAATCTGCAACAAAGCTGCAATATGACTGCATACTACATGTAGAAGCAATCAAATCTGTCTTGCAATCTCCAGCAAACTTGTTACCGCAGACTTAAAGTTTGCAGCAATATTGCTGCAAACTTTTCATTTTACTAAGGACAGGTGTATAAAAAAAAAAAAAAAAAAAAAAAAACTCCCCATCCACATTGCTTCTATCTTCTCTGTTACACTGAGAGGATCTAACCACGTCACTGTAGTTTGCAAATTTTATTATGCGTTTAGTTTGCTTGTATAGGATTAAGTATTTATTCCCAGTGGTTCCACATCCTTATTACTTTTATTATACACATCTGACGATTAATAAGAGTGTATCCTTGAATATTTTAAGGAAATCCAATATGACAAGTCATAGGATACATTGCTTCTTACAATTACAAGACAGTACAAACAAATTAGACCTAGACTTCTTAACAGGGATGTGGAGCCGGTGTACTATTCAGAGTTTTAACCACAGAGTATCTGTTCTAGATGTGATGGACCCGGATGACACCATTTACTTTTCTTAAAGGGGTATTTAACAGTTTGTTGATATATCTTTAGCTGAGATTGGCCCACCGCTCGTCCAGAGCCTGTCTCAGCTCATTCAGTGTAGTCAGCTGAACATTTGTCCTCCTTACAGCACAGTTTATAGCATCCCAACAGTGTTCTGTGTGATTCAAATAGAGAGAAGAAAATGCAGGTCAGTCTACTTACTCAGTTTAGTGGTTATTGGAAATTTGTTGTATTTTGCAAGAAAGATGAGCTGGAGCAATGCCATGATGACCAGAAGGAGCTATATCATACATGGCACCATTTCTGTCGGCGGAACTTGTATTTAGACGCTGGCATTGAGTAATGCTTGGCAGCCCAAAAGGTAGAAAAAACTACAGCAAACTTCTCCCGAACTTGACAAGAAACTTGGGAGTCTACAAACAATACTTAATTCAAAGATATAACCTCATTTCATCAGAAACCTAGACATGCCGTATCCTCAAAAGACACCACGCACGCTCTTGGACATTAGAATGAGGTATTGCCACATGCACCCATCCAAATGCTTGGAAAATTACTTGCATTGCAACTGCAAACGCTACTGGCTCTGCCGAAATAGTAAGCACAGACGTGACCTGCCATTCTTCTCAGATATTTTACAGGTATATGAGGTATAATTACTCAGGGGAATTCCAACCGCAACTTGAAAATGGTTATGGGCCATTGCTTTGCTACCAGTAGCTATATCAAATGTTTTGTGAGATTTATGACGGTAAACGATGCAATGAAATAATTAATTATAATGTCCAAATAATCCCATAATTTTCAGCAAGGCGAGAGCAACAGTTATACCAGTTGTAATGTTAGTAAGTGACAGCATGCAGTGAATAAGAGCGGGGAGTGTTTAGTAGAGTAACTTAAGTTGATTGACATGCTCTTATGGTATTTATACAACTGCGCTTAGTGTAAACAGAGAGAAGGCCGCTACAGATTGCATGAGGTAGGAATAGAAATGAAGGAAGCGGCGCGGGTAATAACTGGACAGTAGTTCAATAAATAATAAAAAGTTAATATCTGAGTTGTATTTGCTACCTCGCGTAACATGACGAAGACAAGCCAACAACTTCGTCACAAATGGTGGAGGATGCGAAATATAAACATAGATGTTTGACATCATGAGTCTTGTCGAAAAGAGAGAGAACGATCACTGGACGAAAATACGCAGGCGAACACAAAGTATCTAGATGGGAGATTGGAATTGGACAAACATAACATGGAAGGTAAGACAATTGCTTTAAACGATTATTTTAGAAAATGCTTTTTGCGGTATTTCGATGACTTTATGGTAGACAGCCACAATTTCAAACATTGCCTTAGTGAGGTAAACATAGTTTTACGAAGGCTGAGAAATGCAAACTTAGCATTATTTGAATAGTTTCATTGCGCGAGAAGAGGTCAGGTATTAAGGGTACATACATGTAGTTTCGCGTTGATTAAGTGTAAGGCAGTGCCAGAATTCCATGCCCAATTGAATGTAATCGAATTTCTAGAAGTAATGAATTATTGGTTATTTATTTTATCCCTTAACAGATTTCAATTAAGCAGAGTAAAGGTAAACACCTCGTGAATGCTTTTTGCGATTAACTGCCGCCCTTACCATGAGGGAAACGTTGAAGAATAAGACTTAGAAAATATAATGACCCTGCACAGTTTTTTAATGATGCATGTTTGAACAGAATACATATGTTAGACACCAGTACTTTACTTTGAATTTAAACAGGGTGGCTACGAATTTAAAGGTCTGGAATGCTTTTAACATTTAGAGAAAGGTGACAAAAATATGACGTTGTCAAAATGTCAAGATTGCGAGGCATTTGTTTTAAAGAGGAATTGTTTTAAAAACTCCAGCGTAAAGATAAGAATTTTGCGTCAATTATCACATACATGACATTAGACGAACTTCTACTTAGTTGCAAAGGCGCTCGGCTTCTTGTTGTTAGAGATAGAAGATAACGTGATAATTGATGGCAGAAAATCACCCCACCCAGGAGGTTCTTTGCAACTTGTTTTTCAGACAAGTTAGAGTACAAAGTTTTGTCTAGTTTACACGACGAATGCAATCGGTCATAAGGTTATTCAAAACACGTAGTTACCATTACGCACACGATGTACTTTACGAAAAGGTCATTAACAGATGTCATTATGTTCGTTCTTGTGTTGAATATTTGACGAGGAAAGTTCCTCCAAAATAACGCCAGGGCTTCGTTGCTAACTTTGCCCATAAACAAAGTGAGTAAGAAAAAAATAGAAAAATGAAGAAAAACGAGAAAATGAGACTGCAGGACAAGCGAATTTGTCCCAGACCACTGATGAATTATTTAAAGTAGAAGCCTTACGAGGTCGCGTCAGATAAAAGTTGAAGCACAGTATCTTATTTAGTGGAAATGGATTCCCTTTTGGTTAGAATATTAGGGATCCAATTAAAAACTAAACGAGGCGACATTAAAGGGAGTAACATAAGAGTAATGGAAAAGAAGAAAATATATTAAGTCGTGTGTCAATGAAATAGAAAACGCCTGTTTAAAACTGACAATAAGATGGGAGTAGCAAACGTGACGAAGTTGAATTCTAATTGGATAGAATTAAGATATGTTCATAAAGAGACTATCATAAAGTGATGTCATTAAACCTTTGTATGGAAAATATTAAAAGATGCTCTTAAATTTCAATGCCATTAACGTTTGTTTTTTAAACATGTACGCTAAGTCTTTTCTAGGACAATACTATTAGGAGTTCAACGGCGATATGGTTGTCCCTCATTTTCCCTCGGAATCCGTAAAAGATTCACGTAAGTAAGTGTGAGTATTGATTAAAGAAATAATTTGAATTGGTTGTAGACTCGTTATAAAATTTGTTTGGTGAATATATTTTGTATGTCTTTTATTTCCCGATACCTGCTAATTTAGATAAATGTAAACATTATCCATCTTTTGATATGTCTTATGTTTATAAAGTAAATACATTTCCGTTTACATTTTATGCATCTATTGACCTTAAGATTTTTACAGGTTGCGGAATATTTGAAGAGATGCCAACAGCTGAGATATCTCACTTCACTGTTGAAGAATTCGTGACAAGATGGAGAAATGCATTTGAAGATATTTTGTTGTTGACTTGAACAAAAATGTTGCACTAATCAATATTGATAAAATAGTTTGTTTTTTTTTTCAGGTTAGCCAGGCAGCGAATTAATTTTTCGTTTTTCGTCTACCCTTGTAATTTTAATATCCATCATAACGAGTTTTTAATTTTCTTTTACAGGATACGTCACTTTAATGGCATTCACTTTATTTTCAGGCAATACTAATTATTATTGCACTTTGTTTCGGTTTAGGGCTCCTGGACTTACAGTCTGCGTAATTTCAGATGATGAATCATAATTCTTTTCATAAGAATATCCCTTCTGTTTCGCCCACTACCCCCTTGCAATGTCAAACATCATCGATAATGCGCATGCACCTTTGGAGGTGACAAGCAAATATTAAGATTATGATTAATCTACATTATTGGAAGTCCCTTCAACAAAATTATGTATTCGGGTTGCGAAGAATAAAATTGGAGAATAGTTTGAACTTTCTCGACAAATTGCCTTAATTAAAGTCCTAATCACTGGCATTTCGACGATCTTCTTAAAATGATCTTGTCAGTTGATAATGTGGTTATATTGGCAATCAAAAGATCGAGTGGAACAAATGAGTTAATGAGTATAAATGTTGCAAGGATAAATGACCTTATGTGAATATTATTTGATATATTGTGAGGAATAAAATGATTCATATGTGACATATATCAATGTGGTTATGGATAACTGAATATGTGGAGTTGAGGTATAAAAGTGTGCGCATGACGTCATATAAATACTAAAATCTGGGACGCCAGATAAATATTAGCATCTGGGACGCCAGATTGCGTTATTATTATTTTTATTATTAGCATAAGTATTATTGTTGGAAAAATTATCGTATTATTAGCATGGTTCCATATATGTTTTATTGTTATCATAATATTTTGGATGGATAATACTATGGCAAGTTAAAATCTTGCCTGTTAAATGTGACTGTATTCAAGTTTGATGATGATTGTTATAATATACGTAGTTAAGTTTTTCTTGACATGCATTTCTGCTTCATTCATTTTGGATATATTCGTAAACGCTGGACATAGACATTCGTGGATATACAGGGAACTGTGAACATTTATCTACACGTATGCCAACGTGCGCGAATAAGACGTTTATCCATATACAATGAGTGGCAGATGACAATCGCTATGCACTGTCTAGAAGGACGGATTTGACATTATATGATAACTGAACTTTCGTGCTAAAATTCAAAAATGGAGGATATAACGGGCTATACCAAATGGAACTTTTCATTTGAGTGGATATGAACTTTAAATTTTACGAGTTAACTTTGATTTATATGTTATTGCATGTGGTTATAATGACACATTAAGTATTGTGTGTTGAATAATAAATACGTTTAGTATTAATAATATATATATATTCAGTTTGTCGGTCTCATAATTATTAGTTATTGATATTTAAATATACAGTTATTGGTATAGGAACAGTGTACTTAACTTTTATAAAGATGATGACGTGAAACTGATGATATGCATTAAGGAAGATTCTTACTTAATTATTTTTCGGTATGTTTTTTTGTTCAATCGTGGATTGGGTTTGATATAAAATGATTGTTTCTCTTATAGCCATCAAAAGAGAGCGCTACAGTGTGGACAAATATGATGATGAACAAGTACTTCATCATGAACGATGCGCTGGTCGCAGCGTTGTGGTGACTGCTGTTCATTGGACAGGGAGTGATCGGCCCTATTGTCTCACGTAGTGCATCCCAAGAACATCTCATATGGCAAACGAAAGAGAGAAACTATATAATAAAATGTGTCAGAGCCACAATAAGAGAGTAACAGGTTTAAACATCCGCGCGGAGAAAACAAATAAAAACATCTGTGCTCTTGAGCCGCACATTGAAATGTGTAAATGCCAATACGAAATATATCCACGAACATTTGTATTTTCATAAAAATTTGTCAGTCTATCTTCCTTTGAGTTATATTTTGGGTTTCATGTCCAACGTATTTCTATTTTATCATAAGTTTCTTATAAAATATCTATTACTTAGTTTTGCAAATGCAGTGTTTAAGAAAGATTATTTTAGGGTATATTTTAATTTTAAATATGCCTAGGGACAGGGATATCGTCCCCGGGAGATAATGTAATGTTAGTAAGTGACAGCATGCAGTGAATAAGAGCGGGGAGTGTTTAGTAGAGTAACTTAAGTTGATTGACATGCTCTTATGGTATTTATACAACTGCGCTTAGTGTAAACAGAGAGAAGGCCGCTACAGATTGCATGAGGTAGGAATAGAAATGAAGGAAGCGGCGCGGGTAATAACTGGACAGTAGTTCAATAAATAATAAAAAGTTAATATCTGAGTTGTATTTGCTACCTCGCGTAACATGACGAAGACAAGCCAATAGCTTCGTCACACAGTCACAGCAGGCTGTAAACAAAGTGAACAAAACGTTAGTGGAATACTTTCTGGCATTATAACATCTAGCTTCTTTCTCTTCAAGGAACGTGCCACAGTCGATACTTCCCTCGACGATTTATGTGACTGAAGATGAAAGTTTCCGCGTCTGATTCCTTACTGCGTCTCATTTTCCCTCTGTGGGCTGAATCTGCGTTTACCTTTAGTTAGTTTAAGAACAGGAGCCTCAACTTCAAACATAGGATCACCTACGTGACTCTGAGTGTGCTCTCGTGAGATATCGTTGAGGCATAAACACAGCTGTATCTGTTCATATGCCTGAACCAGTGCCATGTACCAGCTTCTTTACAGACTATAGGACTTTGCTTCCTTTTAAGTTTACTATACCTTACCACTTCTTGCCATGGGGACAAAATTCCCATGCTGCCGTATGGAGCAATTCACACTTCCAGAGCTATGAATATGGAGAAGTTATCAGTGATTGCGAACTAACCTTACATGCAGTATCCCCTGTGGTATTAAAAACGACAATAATTAAGGCAATTATTCTCCAGCAAGCGACGTTCGTAAATCTGAATATGATGTTCTGAGGACAAGTGAAGGAATGTGGGCATTTGTACTTTTGTAATTATTTTTGCTTCAAATTGAAATCATAAATTCTGCATGTTCTGTTCGCTATATACCATATGTATACGTATACAGTACTAATAAAATTAGGCCCTACGTCTACGTCTACTACGGTACTACTAGCCCATCAATTATAGCACCAGTAACATAATAATAATAATAATAATAATAATAATAATAATAATAACTATAATAATAATAATAATAATATATTTATTTTGAGTCTAAAATCCATAAAATATTTAATAGACTGTACAACATAAAATACAAAGAAGTTTATAGATAAAAATAGTTAAGATATATATTATATAAATCAGAACTAGACTAAATTGTAATTAACAGTAATAAAAGTAAAAAAAATCCAAGGCTTCTTTAATGTAAAATTTAAAATCCATGAATAAAATGTCTTAAAATTGTGAGTTTTCAATTCCTTTTTAAAAGATCCTTGTGATTCTATTCGTCTAATAAAAATTTGCAACGTATTCCACTCTACTGGTGCAGCTACACGAAATGATATGTAACAGCTTTTATCCAAGTGCAGTGACGCATTTTAATTTGATTTCAAAACTAGATTCTTAATTTATTTATTTATTGTATTATTTTATTATTTTACTCTGTATATTGCTCCAAAAGGAAAATGATTTCCGATTTTTATAATTGGCTAAATAAACTCTTATCTTATCTTATCTTACCATATGTTTTTAAATTTAATTTGGGAACTTTCAGTAAAAGTTTGTCACCAGACCTCAGGGATCTTTGAGGGCTATAATGTTTTACTAGATCAGTTATATATGGTGGAGCTCGGTTATAAAAAGCAGCATGTGTAAAAACTAAAACCTTAAATAAAATCCTGGCCCTAACTGGTAACCAGTGCAGCTGCTTTAAAATTGGAGTGATATGGCAATCCCTAGGCTATATAAAAGCCGTGTTGAGATATTCTGGATGCGTTGTCTTTTAATCTTATCATCTGGACAGCCATATGATATAGAATGCAATAGTCCAACCTGGAAGTTACCAATGAGTGTATAACAGTAGCAGCAGATGATTGATTCAGATATTTCCTTATGGTGCCAACATTCCGAATGTTGAATAATCAAGACCTTGTGATGTTAGAGATCTGTTTGTTACAAACACCAACGCGATGCCTTAGTTTTTTTTTATAAATAACAAATGAAGTTAAAACAAGGTTAACTGAAAAGGCAGGAATATCTACGCGTACACAAAGTACAAAGTAGGTCACAATCCAGGCAGTAGTCGAAGTACTTGTACGGATTGGAATGCAGGCATATCAGCACAAACTTTTTAATAATTTGAGCGTTAGGATGTGCATGAGCTAACAAAGTACTACGATGCTTACACATGTATAGCAGTGGGATTCAAATGAAGGGATACAGCTGTCATAATAACATCCAACATATCTCTCTCTAGGGAACGTTCCACGCGATTCGACCTTCGACGACTTATGATGCCAGTTTCCGCTCACGATTAATTCCTACGTCCCAAATTTTTCTCTGTGGATTGATTCCTGTGTTTTCCTCTAGTTGGTTTAAGAACAGGAGCCAAAGCATCTAACACGGGATTATTTATTTGACCGTGGGTGTGCTTTTGTGAGAGATCGTTGAGGTGTTAACATAGCTGCTAGGACTGGACTTTTTTCGTTTGCCAGAACCAGTGCCATGTACCAGGTTATTGACAGACTAGGACTTAGCCTTTTTTTAGGCCTACTGTGCCTTACCACTTCTTGCCACGGAGACAAAATTCTCATGCTGCCGTATGGAGCTACTCACACTTCCAGAGCTATGAATATGGAGAAGTTGGCCTTGATGTTGACTGAACATGGTCATAATGTGACCATGATAGTCAGGGCCGACTACACACCCTGGCGACCCCTACCCGGCGTTGTATTGGAGACGTATAACGTAACTGTCAACGACGGATCACAACTACCTCGGAAATTAGATTTCAAGACAATGATGCGGTTGGTGAAATCCGACATTTTTACTCTAATTCATATAGAATCTGAATCTAATCGCGAAACTTGTAAACACATGTTGTCTGACAAACAACTTATGAGTAAAATCAAAAGAGGAACCTTTTCTTTGTTCATATTTGATTACTTGGAATTGTGTTCTGCAATTCTTTTGTATCAGTTAAAACTCCCATCTGTCATGTACTCAAACTATGGATTAACGGGTTTGTGGATTGCAAATCAGAATCCCTTAAATCCAGCCACGACCCTTATGGAAGGCGCAGACTTTACAAACAATATGAACTACATAGAGCGCTTCAGAAATACAATGCTTTGGATAGCTGCAAATGCATTTTATAACTACTATTACATTAGAGACATAGAAAATCTACTGTCAACGTTTCTGCCTGATTATAACTTTCCTCCAATTCATCGTTGCTTTGAAAACGTCTCTATAATTATCGCAGCCAATACACATTTTGCCCTTGACTTTCCTAGACCTGTCATGCCTCATATAAAACCAATATCCGGGCTACAGTGGACCCCGCCGCGCCCTCTGTCGTCCGATCTACTTTCTTTTATGTCGTCTGCTCATCATGGGGTTATACTTATGAGTTTTGGATCTATGATGCCGACGTTGGAAGAGGAGACAGCAGAACTATTTGCTAAGGTGAACAATTTACATTTATAGAAATCATTGTGTCTCCAATTGGAAGAATCGTTATTATTGGATTTAAGTGGGGCCTGTTAGTTCCAGCTACTTGTCCGTAATTATTGTAATTACACTCTTGCTGAAGAGAGTTAAACTTTAGCATTCGTTTTGGTAGTTAGGCGCCTAGCAACCCTTGACATTTTATATGTTATCGGTAAACGCATTTTAAGACATGTTCCTTACATGTTATCATCTTTATTAGCACATGCAATTGCTGCAAATTGACAGCCTTAGCAACGGTCATAGACGTGTATATACAATGTAAACACACACATCGTGGTATATAATTGCCCTTTGCACAAAATATACACACATTGCGCGTAATGTTATTATTTTGATGCCAAATTCATGTTCGTATCTGCATGTAAGCAGATATTACATCTGCACGCTTCTATGCGTGATCTTTTAATTGCGTACTTCATTAATCAGGTCTATATTTGATAAATATGGCATATAGTGAATTTCCATCTTGTCATATTGGTTAACTGTGCCACAACTTAATATTATATCTCTTGAATTTTTTTCGAAGGTATTTTCCAAGTTTCCACAGAAAGTATTATGGCGATACAAAGGACCTGTTCCGCCATCTTTAGGGGAAAACACCAAGATCATGGAGTGGATTCCACAAAACGACATTCTAGCTCACCCCGCCATGAAGCTGTTCATCACACACTGTGGTATCAGCAGCACGTGGGAGACGCTGTTCCACGCTGTGCCCGTGGTAGCAGTGCCGCTTTTTGCAGACCAGCATCATAATGCAGCTAAATTGGTAAAAAGGGCAAAAATTGGGGTTTTAATCGACTTTCATACAATGACACAGATAGAGCTAGAGGAAGCAATCAACGAGGTACTAACTAATGAGAAATACAAACAAAAAGCGGCAAAGATGTCCGAAATTTTACAAGACGTTCCAATATCAGGAAAGGATGAATTTTTATTCTGGATTGACTACGTGATCCGCCACCGTGGTCCATTATTTCTTCACAATGAGGCGGTTTTCAAACTGTCATGGTACCAATATTACCTTCTAGATATAATCTTGCCATTTGTCGCTGCATTTCTTTGTTTCACCTTTCTGTTGAAGGTTTTCGCTGTATGTATGTTTAAGGCGGCTGTACGAGTAATTAGACTTTTGCTGAAGAGAGTTAAACTTAAGCGTTCGTAATGGTAGTTAGGTGCCAATCAACCCTTGACGTTTTATATGTTGTTGGTAAACGCTTTTTAAGACATGTTCCTTGGATATTATCATCTTTATTAGCACATGTAATTGCTGCAAATTCAGTGTTTGCCGTGACAGCTGAAGCAATGGCCATAGACGTGTATATACTATGTGAACACACACATCGTAGTATATATTTGCCCTTTGACACCAAACATACATACCTTTCGCATCAGTTTTGCTAATATATACCGTTTGACAATAAAAGTCTCATGTTAGTAGTATGAAATGGACGCTAGGTTTACTATCGGTGGGTGGATTGTTTGTTTGTTTGTTTGTTTGTTTATTTATTTGTTTATTGGTCGGTCTGTCTGTCTGTCTGTCTGTTTGTTTGTTTGTTTGTTTATCTGTCTGTCTGTCTGTCTCCTTGCCTATCTGTTTATCTGTCTGCCTGTTTGCTTGTTTGTTTGTTTGTTTGTTTTTGAGGGAGGGGTATCTATGGCTACCAATGCTTTTTTTAATTGTGTTTTTTTTTAAGTCCTATTTTTTATGTACAGACGCAGTCTGTACATATAGCCGTCACCTGCGTTTGTCGTTGCCGTCGCCGTCGCCATCGCCGTCGTCGCCGTGCACTCAGCGATAACACGATAAGTGGAAAACCGTTTTACTTTTTGTATTCAAACTTAAAGGACTGATGAATATTCATAATACGCGGGGTCAAGTTCGAAAATCAGCATCATCGGGCCATTTTTAGGGAAGTTATGCTGTTTTTTCACTTTTTTCAACTTTTTTGCAACACCAATAACACGATAAGTGAAAAACCATTTTACCATTTGGCTTGAAACTTACAGAACTGATAAATATTCATAATACGCAAGCCAAGTTCGAAAATCACCGTGATCGGGCAATTTTTATGGAAGTTATGCTGTTTTTTTTCACTTTTTTGATAACACAATATAAGAAAAACAGAAAGGCCAATTGTCATTATACTCACAGGAGTTGTCAATTTTACTAAAACGCAGGTTGATTTAGAAAATCAGCATAACCCGGCCATTATTTTAGAAGTTATGCTGTTTTTTCACATCTCCTTAGATTAAATTCTTTGGCATGTTAACAGTCTGATTATTGAACTAATAAGATACGTAAAAGTGTTCGTTTGACATTTCCTGCATCTTTACAACATTGTTAGTTATGTAAAAATGATNCTTATTTGCATCTTTATTTTCTGTTTTTTTTTGTCTGTACATTTGACAGCTTTGCTGCCTTGTTAATACTAGCATCAGCAAAACCTGTCAGTATACAAAATACCTTTCAAACGAAACAACAAAACAAAAAAGGCGGTAAACACTAGCATACTTCGTCAATTGTGCCATTTTGTTCATTTCACAAAGTGTGCCCATTAGCCCCCACGGAAACATTTGATTCCTGTGCCAGTACGTATTAATATTGAAGCTTACATCCTAAAATCCAACGTACCGGTATCCGAATACTACTTCGAACGCGATGTTTTTTTTTTAATTTTAATAATGTGAATTAAATATTAAATTGCATTATACAGACTTGAAATCACTGCATATTACATAATGCAGCAGCGTGTAGGTACATCTGCGGCAGAATGGCGCGAAGAAGACAGACATTGCCAGACAGATAATTGCGCCAAACGAGACAGTCCGCACAGTTTTATAGAGTAATGCCCAGACTGACGTACCTACACAGAGGCCACACCCAATGTATTGAAATCTTACCACCAGGGTACAGGACCCACTGTCTTTCGAGATATGCTGTTGCAACTAAACGAAAACTACCCAGTCCGTTCAGATTGAGGGGTAAATTGCCACCAAAATGCATTTTTCAAGGCCCTTAGCGAACACCAAACTGGTGTTAGCAGGTTGGAATACCAGACGATCTCCGCGGAACCCACTGTAAACAGGAAAACATCGGGAACCTTGACCGTTTCTGGGTTGAACACTAAAACCTGGTGGCTTTCTTTATTGAGGTCAGATTTCACCTGTACCGCTCAATTAGTCAAAACACAATTTTATTGACATCCATAGGAGGCCAACGACGAAGCGTGTGCCGCATCTAAAGTGACTAAGGTCATTAACAGCGTCAGTATTTGGAGAGGATACCACATTGGTGCCAAATAACCAATGGTAGTCATCGACGAACCACTTCAAATAAAGGAATGATCTGGGAACCACTTGACTATCATTTGATAGGGGTACCTTAGGAACAATTTTAGGTTACACGGTGAGATTACCGGCCCACACAGAGCACTTTTAATAGCAGATTACTTACAGAACCAAGAGAATGAGGAGCCACCTTGGTCATCAAAATCGCCATATTTGAACCACATAGACAATATGTGAGTAGGCTATTGCTCGCCGAATCAATGGCCTACATATCCTACAACAATACTGGACCAGATTGGACAGATTTTGACCGATGCCTGGAATGTTATTCCAGATTGAACTCTAAAAAACTATCCCAAGGAATGCCTTGCCACTTCAGAACGCTGGCAGCTGCCAGCAGAGGTCAGGCGTAACAGAGACCGTTACTGTGACTAGACACTGACATGAGGGTCCTTTGTGGAGTGTGTAACTCTTTTACAGACAATAATTCGGAAAATATGGAGGTCCAAAATATCTCTTTTAATGGTTGTCATGTGACATAGAATAGGCAATGTGTTTTTGTTTGCTTCTCTGGCGAATTCAATAAATAAACTGATGTCACAATGACATCAAAGATATAATTAAAAGTTATAAAAACACGATTTTAATCTTTATTTTCATTTATCACTCAGCAAAATAGGAAAAAACTGCTGAAAGATGATTTGGAAAAATTTTTTTCTATTAAATGTCAAGTCTGTATATTTTAATTCTTTAGTTGTTGCCATGTGTAAATATAACGAAATCTGCACGGATCGCACAAAAAATGCCAATATTGGAGAGAGCTGGCCTCACTGAGAAGTGAACTATAAAGCATGCACATAGATATAAATCAGCGATAAATCAACGTCAGCAACTGGCAATCATCAACAAAACCCTGTGCTTGGTCACTGTAAACAGCATGGAAGTCGAGAATACAACACACACACGTACTGTACTTTATACGAGGCATACTAGGTAAAGCAGGCCATGCGGTCTCATATTTCTTCCCCACAAAAAGAAAAGATTTATAGTTCTTTAACGGGTGCGTATTTGGGCTTTGAACATGACTCATCGTATGGAAGGATAGCGTGGAATACAGGCATATGTGGTCATATAGACGTTATATTTAGATTAGAGGAATTTTGACAAGGCAAATGATGGATCGACAGAAGTAATAGGCCTACATATACATATACCAATACCGACATGTATAACAATAAGTGTTTCCAGATGTGGAGTTAAATTCGTTTGATGTGATAGATACAATACGAGTAGCGGAGCTGTACGTAAAATATTACGAGTGATTGGCTACTACACTACTTAGTGCAACAGACCGTGGAACGCTCTCGTACATGACGTGCTTGTATGTCGAATATAACACGGCCGATTCTTTTGTGCTATGCGCTAGCCTTCGGTGGGTTTAAATATATGTTCCGTAAAAAGTGTCATCCAGCTGTATCGGTTCGTTTATATGTCTAGGGCTGGACCATGGATCTTAACAGAGCGGGATTGGTCTCCTTGCTTCTACATGTACTGCACATTATCACTCTTTGCAATGGGGACAATATCCTTATTCTGCCTTATGCGGCAACGTACAATTCGAGAGCTATGAATATGGAGAACTTGGCTTTGATGTTGACTGAACATGGTCATAATGTGACCATGATAGTCAGGGCCGACTATACACCTTCGCGGGTGCTAAACGGTGTTACATTTCAGAAGTACAATATCACTCTTTCGGACGTAATTCGACCGTTTCAAACAGTGGATTTCAAATCAATGATGCGCCTAGCAAAAAGTGACTTCATTGCTTTAGTTCTACATATAGCTCGGCATAATAGGTTTACTTGTGAAAGCATGCTTGCGGACAAACAAATGATGGGGAATATCAAGAAAGGAAACTATTCTTTGTTCATATTTGACTATGTCGAGATGTGTTCTGTAATTTTAGTACAGTATTTACAGCTACCCACCATAATGTATTCAAATTACGGATTAGAAGATTTGTGGACCATAACCCGCAATCCCTTTAACCCAGCCACTACTCCGTTGATAAGTGGAAGGCTGACAGCCGACATGAACTACTTTGACCGATTTTTGAATACGCAGTGTCATGGGTGACCATTGAGTTCGTACATAGGTACTTGTATTTAAACCAGATAGAGGAATTATCAGCAACATATTTCCCAGGGAACAACTTTCTTCCAGTTGGCTGGTCTTATGAAAACGTTTCTATTATTATCACAGCAAATGTGCATTTTGCCTTTGACTTCCCCAGGCCCCTCATGCCTCACATAAAACCAATATCCGGGCTACAGTGGACACCGGCGCGCCCTCTATCGTCCGATCTATTGTCTTTCATGTCGTCTGCTCATCATGGGGTTATACTAATGAGTTTTGGATCTATGGTGCCAACGCTGGAAGAGGAAACTGCAGAATTATTTGCAAAGTTGAAATTTTAGTTCACTTGTTTATAAAATGTTCATACAAATGTCACAAATGGGATAAATCAAATAGTGTCTGCTAGCAGATTCAGCTTTACATTTTGGACATATTGGCGTGTTTGTTGGTGCACACATTATACTTATCGTTAGTCTGAATTATCTTGATGTGCTTGTATGTAGGATTCAAAGTAACGATAGTTGGGGGTTATTTCCACTAATGTAGTGCTTTTGAAGCTAACCTAATTAGGATAAATCTGATAAAATTTGATATACCCTGTAGGGGCTTGCATGTTGGTTATCAATAAAAACTGTTGTGGACCAAGTATTTATCATTTTTTTCCTTGAATAGGTATTTTCCAAGCTTCCACAGAAAGTATTATGGCGATACAAAGGACCTGTTCCACCATCGTTAGGGGAAAACACCAAGATCATGGAGTGGATTCCACAAAACGACATTCTAGCTCACCCCGCCATGAAGCTGTTCATCACGCACTGTGGTATCAGCAGCACGTGGGAGACGCTGTTCCACGCTGTACCCGTGGTAGCAGTGCCGCTTTTTGCAGACCAGCATCATAATGCAGCTAAATTGGTAAAAAGGGCAAAAATTGGGGTTTTAATCGACTTTCATACAATGACACAGATAGAGCTAAAGGAAGCAATCAACGTGGTACTAATTAATGAGAAATACAAACAAAATGCGGCAAAGATGTCCGAAATTTTACAAGACGTTCCAATATCTGCAAAAGATGAATTTTTATTCTGGGTTGACTACGTGATCCGCCACCGTGGTCCATTATTTCTTCATAACAAGGCGGTCTACAGACTTTCATGGCACCAATATTACCTTCTAGATATAATCTTACCACTTGTAGCCGCATTTCTTTGTTTAATCTATCTGTTGAAGGTATTCGTTGTATTTATTTTTAAGATGATCAAACGTGTAAGTAAGCTTTTGATAAGGAGAGAGAAAATGAAAAAAACATAAAGATACTTTGGTAATAGATAACGCTTGGGATTTAGCACTATATTGAGGTGTTGTTACACGGAGTGTGAGATATCGGTACGCCTATATACCATGTTTATTGAAATTAAATCGTAATAATTGTTAGCAGTGACAAATGTTGAAGTGTGCACATTTTAATTGCATGTTATTGTGTACATATTCATAAGACGGTGTCTTTTTGTCCCTCATTGCTTAAAGATGCATACAAAGTCAATTTTTTGTCACAAAAACCAACCAAATGCCAGCATGTAGTTTCAAGTAGTATAACTAAGAGAATTACCAAAAGGCATTGTTTAATTTTACCCGAAAATGATGTTTGAACGGATTGTTCTGCTGGCATTCTAAGCTGTATGTCAATGGGGCAGGAAAGTAGGTCACGAAAGTAGGTTAAGTTTACAACCATAAATTTAAAGAAAGGAGTAGTATAAAGGTCTTTTATGGCTGATCGAGTGATCTATTCAGTTTGTCCCTTGGCATGTTGAATTTATTTGAGTCATATAAGAATCTAATAGAAGTGGTTTACATGTGTTACTGGGAATCCACGCTCCAACGATGCTCGGTTCGTATGTACCTTTAATTAATAAGCCCTGAATATCTCCGTTAACAAGATTGTCATATACCTGGTTTTTATTGAGAAATCGTTCAAATAAGAGCAAATAAAGGGCTACTTAATTGAGACAGTTTAAAATCTTGAATCTTATAAATGCATAAATACATCAATTTCTTTGAGCAATTGTGTATGGTTACAATTAATCCTAGTCTCAGAAAGCCACTTCCAGGTGAATCCATGTATGGCCCCGTTCAGAATTGGAGACTAAGCAGTCCGAGAGTCAAACATGGCCGACCCACTTGAATACTTCCCCACGGGATATCTATTCAGTATCTGTTAGCGGATTGGAAGCTTTGTAGTGGGTCACCATATTTGACCCTCGGACAAGTTAGTCCCCTGTTCTGAATGGGACCTATTATCATATTACCAATTGTCGAGGCCAAAGAGAAATCGTTCTTTCTCAAAGCTTTACCAAGGGCAGACTATATCATGTCTAATTTGGTTCAAATATTTCTTTGATGCTGAGTGCTCGTTCCGTTTCCAGGTAATCTTCGGTGCGCACGCGCAAATACCTAGCTTTGCGAGCTTCCTCAAATCTTTCAGGCATACTGGGCATTGTCAACATGGTTCTCAGGGAACCGTCGGGGTTGTACCTCTCAAAATCGCACAAAGGTTTATGAATACGTTCCTGAGCTATTCCATATTTTGCTAACTGAGGAATCTGTGAATCTGTTCCCGGGATCACTCTACCGGTACTTGGTGCAATCGTGGGTGGTGAAGGCAATTTTGGACCTTTCGTAATAGTTTCATCATCTGTCAATACGATACTAGTAGGTAACAGGGGATCCGCTGACAAGATTGAGAAATTTGGATTTTTGAGTTTAGGAAGAACCGTGCGAGTAATTTCAGGCGCCATTGCCGCAGAGCGGGGTTCTCCCAGCGAGGGTACAAAACGTGACGTCATTTTCTCGCGTGTGTTTTCGCTATCCGGATAGGAGGCTGGGAGTGCATTGCTAGAAACTTCATTAGTTCTAAGATACAGTTGTGGTGACGTATTTCCACCAACAGTAAGATTAGTCTTTATGCTTACTGTAGGTTTACCTGTAAAATGTTGAACCTTTTCTCGCATTCTTCTTTCCTCTTCGTGCTGCAATGACTGTAGAAAACGTGACCGCTGTTTCGCAGGGTTTAATTGTGACTGGTGAGTAGAACGATGCCGTGAGTAATTATCAACCAAAAGATCCCCAGTCTGATGCAATTTAAGTTTGGAATCGGGGGAGCTATTAGATCGAAACAGCGTACTGTCATATGGGGTCCTATTCTGTTTTTCTCCCATTCGCTCTTCTTCGAGGCGATGACGCATTGTTCTGCCTACATTATTCTTCCTCAGTTCCCGAAAACTCTTACCGTACTCCTCTGGTGCGGTGGTGCACTTCAGAAGTTCCCTTCGGATCCGTTTCTGTTCTTGGGTGACATGTTTGATGTTTATGTCATGCGCATTGGTCAACCCATATCGGCTGTCTATTTCAAGAGCAAGTCGTCTATCTGCACGTTTGTTTTGGCTCCTTGTTTTTTCTGTCAGTCGCCACTGTCGATCAGACAGGTTGTTTGTCATTTTAGTTGACTTTCTGCTAGTTGGTCCTCATACCTTGACGTCACACCTTATTACCATCTCCTTTGCCAAGTGTTTCATGTGCATGGAAATCACCAACTTTCAGTTTTCTTTTTGTCAGTAATTGGCTTGTATATGCTGATTGTGTGAACCTGCAGTGAAATTCGTCCAATCATTCGGTACACTCCACTAAAATGCTGTTTGGATTTCATCAATTAACAGTACAAATACTAGTCCTTAACTGCTTTGAGAAAATGTCTTGTCGGGCAAGGACTTAGCGCCGTCAATGCTGACATTGCCGTTCTTGTACAAGTCTTCAATTAATTGTAATTTGTCCGTATGTACGGTGCGGTGAGGCCTTCTACCATACGCTATACGAATGACCGCTTGGAAAATATTAACATCAAGGCTAGATTTCGCCTCTCGGACACGTTCTAGGTTGGTTAATAAGTATTAAGAGTCATATACAAAAAGTCCTGAATTTTTTCTAAGCTAAGATGAGTTTTAAAACAATTTTATAAAAGTTCGAGATAAAACCGATATGTAAAAGCGGTGCACATCGGTATAGTTTCTGCCTTACTCATTGCTAATATACTGCTTTTGTCATCCATAATTTTTCTTTCTCGTTTTCTTTAATTGATTTTTGAATGAAATAAGCCAACCAATACCGATGACTGTATATTATAGGTAAAACACATGATCTGTGCATTTCTAAATGCTGACCTTAGTGAAAGAGACAAGAAACCTCTGAGAGAATGAATACTGAGAAATCACAAGACGCGCGGCGTATTTACCCGTTGCAGACTTCGCTCAGCAGGACCAATGTATTCTCTCTTGACGACAAAGTCATTTCTGTCAACAACGCTGTCGGGTCTGTCCAACCATATTGTGTGCTTATCAATTAATCCAATTTAATGAAAAGTATTAGCGGATTTGCTGAAGTGTGTGGCTAATTTGTAACGTGTTTATTGAAATTGGACTCAAAGTTCCCCAAGGTTGGGGGAGGGGAGATTTGTTCAACTCGATAGCACAAAACGTAGCGACGTAAACAGAAGCATTGTTAGACACACTTTGATGCAGCAAGAGGGTACTATGTTTTTGAGCCTCTATCGTAATGGAAGTAGAGACTGGTTGATCACACCCATAATTATAACAATGAGAAGTTTATTCCTCGAAAACGGGATTATCGGTCATAATGTGATCAATAGTTGGGTTAGGGACAGGCATATTGGTCAAATATTCAGTTTTTTTTCAAAAGAAAATATACTGATCGAAAATATACCACTTTTTTTTGTGGAAGAGTTATAAAATGGAAGGTCAGAGAAATCCCAATGAAATGAGAAATGTAAATTTTAGGCTGCCAAAACCTTATTTCTCAATTAGTACAAAAGATTGTAGATATCATCGAACGCGTGATGAGTTAATCAATTTAAGCCAATTCGATTCAAAACATGTCTTGAAGCACTTAAAGAGAGTAAAATTACACTTTTTTGAAACGTAACACACCCCCCGTCTAAAATGAATTACTATTTGAACAAAAAATATTTCGAAATATACAGTATATGGAGAATAACATAGTTCTCCGATATCTTATTACATTTCTAATCAGAAGTGACTTACTCCAGACAGACATCCCTTTAAAATATGCGAACATTTACATCTCTATTTATAACAAGAGGCTAACTCAGTGATGGATTCCACACCAAAATTTTACGTTAGAGAAAAATTGTCATAAATTAGTCAAAGGCCATAATCAATCTGTTTGACTGACAGAGAGTATACACGTATCCTCTAAATACAAATCGATATCATTTTTTGAAGTAATTGTTATACAATTTAAAAGGAAACATTTAAATTATTCCGACAGCTATGTCGGTGATTGAAAAACGATTCACGGAGATTAGCAAGATCGAAAATGCAAAATATAAACAGCAATTTGTTGTCATCGGTGGGACTGATTTTTCTATTTTTGTTCTCTTCATTTCCCTTCTTCTTGTTATTATCATTAAAATAGGACTCAATCTTATTCTGTGAAAACCGTGGCCTATGCGTTTACGACAGTTCTTAGCGAAATGCATGTGCTCTACTTTTTTTTCTACGATTATAGGAGCTCAACTCACAATACACGTCGAGCTGAAGCACTAACTTTAATAAAAACTTTTAGACAAAATGCGGTCTCCTTCATTTATAGTCAAATCCGAAGTAGTCCATGTTAGTAGGCCTACAACATCAGTTTAAAAAATATAATTCATGCGTGACNGTGGCGGACTTAGGGGGGGGGGGCAGGGGTTCCTGACCCCCTCTTCTATTTCTAAAAAAAAAATCACACGAATGGTCCCCTCCTGTAATTTGAATTTTCATTGCTGAACCATAATTCTAAACAAAAAACAAATTTTCGCCCCCCTCAACCTTCAAATAATCCTGGATCCGCCCTTGCTTTCAGACTAAAGTGAAACAGGTCACTGAAGGGAGTGAACGTGAGCACAGTGACCTTGACCTCGTTGTTAACACCTGATGTTTTGGTTATGCTAAAGTAGGTCAACACAGGTGACACTGTAACAAGGATATGGGACATGTACATCAGCCATTTGCATCACACTCGTTAGAAGGCTATAATTCTTGGGCCGGTTTAGATATGAGACTGCAGCTCAAGAGCGACAAATTAACACTGACATGAGACAGGTATTTAAACAACTTACACAACGTGTTGGTTTAATTGAGAAAAAAAGCCTTCGAGGTGCGAAACCGTTTAGGCTCGCAGCTTAATACATGCTCTACAAATTATAGAGCGTATGTCCTCCGCTGGAGGTATGTTTTGTGACACTATGTACAATGGTATGGTTTGTGACACTACACAAGCACAAATACTAGCACATATATATTGTACTGTACAGTACCTGAATGTTTCAGGACCTAGAGCAATTACAGTACGTCGGATGTAAAATAATGGCCCAGGTTTAACATAGATATGTATTCGCCATACAGTACATGTACATGTACAAAAATTATAGATCTATACACTTACGGAACATATACAACTGTACAGTACTTTGTACAATCGGTATAAATGTTTGTCAAACAATAGGCAAGAATCTACAGGTATACAACAGGACGCTTCAACTTAATTAATTTTGCACCTACTCCTACTGGGTATATGGACATGCACAACGCATTAATACTAGTAAATGTATCGCCATGTGTCTATATAGCGCATGTCATCTTTTGTCGTGCTTATTAAAAAATGTGAGAACTGTAAGAAAACCGTTCTTGCGGTGTTAATGGGAGCAGACAGTGTTAGTAAATGAACCCGTGGTGTGCTTCATAAGTGAGGAGTCCACTATTCGTCAGATTACATAACCTCAGCAACCCCTTATGGCTGCCTCCAGAAGTGCAGTATGCCAAGGTGGGCACTTAGTCTTTTTAACACTGGTGACATTTTGGACTTTCAAGTACTGCGTCATTTCCGTGACGTGTGAAGTGACGTCACCAGAAGTGACGTCACGAGTTAGCTATCTATCAGAAGATGCCAACACGTGGTACATACACGAAGAATGCGCTGACACACCATTAATAACTAGAATATGTAATCCAGACAGCAACAGCTCTCTTACCATTGCAGCATTCTGTCCAGTAACTAGTGATATTTATCTATATAATTTTACAACCAAGACGACAGTAAGAAGGATAAATGTCCTAGATTCTATAGGTGCTTATGATTCTTCACAAACATCTGCCTTCGAGTTCAGTCCGAACTGCAAGTTCATGTTTTCAGCTAGACAAAACGTAGGATTGCTCATATTCGAAGATGACGAAAGCAACCCGATCCGACGGCTCCATATAGCTGATGGTAATCAAATCATTGATCATAAAATATCTGCTGATTCAGATCGTGTTTACATATTAGAAGATCGCCATCCAAATATGACGCTTAAATGCATAGATTTACGCAACCAGTTGTCAACCAGTGAGTCTTTACGGTTCTGTGACGGCGACTGCAGTTTGCAGTTCCACTTTTACAGAGTCGTCGTCAACGCCCAAAACACACGTCTGTATGTGTTACCAACTGGAGACACGAGGACCAAAATAATCATATTCGATATCTCTGCACCCTTCTGCGCCACGCGGTTCTTGGAAATCAAACGTTACTTTGAAGTGGCGAGCTTTGCCTTTCCCACCAAAGAACTGAATAGAATAATAGTGGACAGCGGTCACGTGTTACAGTCCAGTGACGTTTCTGGCAGTGACCTCGAAGGGAGAGGCTACGTTAACTCTTCCACAACGCCGTACAAATGGTTGGTCCAGTCTCCAGAGCCGCCCCACTATGTTTACGGGTTTAAAAGCGGGGATAACGAACACATCCACGTGTATAGGTACAGTAAATAAATATTTAAGGCGTCTTTCCATTACTGTTGTTAACAGTACGGCCTTAATTTGTGCAAGCTTAACAAACCGTGTAATTTTGACCTCCTCCAAGCAAACTTTTCTGCAATAAGATAAATATTAGCTCTTCAACTTGGAATTTTGATATGTTTAGCAATTTTCAAAATTTGGCTCTCTCGTTTTTCAAAGAATTGTTTTGTTATGATAATTTCATGTCACCGTCATATTTTAGTTGGCCTTACCTGAACGGTCTCCAGTCCAAAGAGATACACGTGATTCCCAACACACACCTCAGCAGTACAGAACTGGTCTCCATGGAAATTATGCGTCATAGTAATCATGGCGGATATATCGTGGCCATGCTTGGAAGGTGTAAAACACCGGACGGTCTTTACTGGGTCAGAGTTTCGGTTGAACCTCTTCCAGTCCCGGAGGCGTCCCTACTTTACGATTCAAATGGTAGGCCATTGTTTTATATATCTTGAAGATGGTTATCACGTTTTCAAGACAAAGACAGTCGTCGGTTATTATTTGTAATTTTTTTAATCTTTCACTTTTTTCAAAAAATTCCAACGGTCTACTTAAGAATAGACCGTTGGAATTTTTAGAAAAGGGTGAAAGAAGGTGATATTGCTAGGATGATAATGCGGGCTGTAATTGTGATTTTGGTTCGATAATTTTTGCAGCATCGAAAAGAGTTAATCGCCTGGGTGTGAGTAAAGAGAGAAATATAGGCAATTCCGTATAAAGGAAATGAAACAATTTTGATCACAGTGATGAAATAAATCACTTTAAGTACAGGCTAGGGATACATGTACATGTATCTTGGCGAGGTCAATTTTCGACGTATTTCTATGGCATTTTTGCCCGTGTTATTTTATACTTCTCAGTAAAGTTAAGAAAAGATGTGTTATTTTAAATTTTCATATGAAAATGCACGATTAAGTCGATGGTAGAGAGAAAGTTGCTAGAGTTGGCAAATTCATCAATTGACACCAATGGCTATTTTACACAATCACATTTCTCGATTTATTTTTTACATGCTTTTGTTGATCGATAATCGTCTGGTAAAGGTAACAATCATGTCTTTCCTTTGCAGTGGCGGTTTCCGTCTGGCGGCACCCAGGTGACCATATCACGACCATACTGAGCACGTCCAGTAATGAAAGAAAAGACATTCTCTACGACCAACACGCGGCGTGCTTGCATGATGGGGGGCTTTTCATAGGACTACGGTACGCAGAGTTACACCTTGTTAATACCACCAGTCACGACATCCACATAATTCAGCTGCCACTGCCTGGTTTAAAAATCACCGTAAATGACAATTGTTCACTGGTTGCCGTCATTCACAATAGTTACGTCTCGACGTTTCACCTTACCGCCTCACCGCGCCGCGTTGCTTCCAACAGCACCTACCCTGTTCCTTCTTACGACTCATGGAATGCTGTGATCCGAGGCAGACACATATTCATATTCCCCAAACACGGCAATGCCAGCAACCCCTACCTGGTGAACTTCTGGCGTTTGGACTCCGTGTCTGGCATCGTGTCTGCTCAGGGTGGGCCTCTGAGAGGTTCGCCCACGTGCTACCTTCACCCAAACCAGATCTGGCTTTACTGTCCCACCATGCAGCAAGCCCCCAGATACCTGTACAAGTTTGAGATAAACAGCAGCGGAGATTTGTCCCTCTTGGATAAAAAGATCGCCATCTCGGTGTGCCAGCCGATCTGGTTTGAACATTCCGGACAGAACATCTATTGCAGCAGTGGGGCAGTGCTGGACGCCTCTAGTTCAACAAAAGAGGACTTGCAGAAGCAGTTTTCACTAGATGAATACTCAGATTTCACCAGCTTTGCTGAAACACAAGACAACACATTGTTAGCTTTGAAGGACGACATGGCCGCCGTTTTGGTGTACAAGTAAGAATACAGCATTACATCCGTGACTTTGATTCCTAATGTTCTTTCTGAATTTTTAGTAACAAATTAAACAGTCACTATTTACCGGTAGACGTTGTTATTATAATGGGCGCAGGGGATAGGTCAAGAGTGTATGAACAAACTTTTTTCAAAAAAAGAAAAAAAAAAATCGCCCGGTATGCCTTTGAAATATGAAATATATCCTTAGTGCTTTTTCAGTTAAACAGGTTAACTCTTTCTTCAAATATTGAACTTAAGCCATAAACATCAGGGTGGATCTTTTACATCATATAATAATGTGAATAACCTTACATGTGTTGGCTATTATTATTTCAGCACAACAGGTGGTCAGTTAGAGGGTGCCATCCAACTACCACTGACCGCAGATTGCAGGTTTGCCCCTCCCTACTTTACGTTCGACGCCGTGTACTCCAGTGATGACAGCGGCCTTACTGTAGTGGTGGTTACGAGGAAAGAACAACTGTACTCTCTGCGGTATAATGGCATAGGCAGAACACTGGTGGTAGCCGCCATCTTGGGAAACGGATCAGTTGAACAGGACCCGATTCACGTGGTTCGAAGAAGACAGAAGTACTTTCCCCACCGGCTCTGTGGCATTGCTTTCTATAATATGTGTAATATGCTTTTTTGTTATTTGCATTTTAAGACTTATTAGCTGCAGAACAAAATGCATTTATGAAAATTCGGATGGAATGAGTGGTCATTTTGTTTATTATCATTATAGAAAATATCATTCATAGAATGCAAAACCGTATATTGGCATGATATAGTCCACTGGGTATTAAAACAGCTCAGATTTGCATTCTATATATTGTAGGTTCACCATTGCACATATACAAGTAAGAACAAATTTATTAAAGGCCTAATTGTCATGCATTAGAGGTAAAGTTTGCAAAAAAGAGGGAAAAATCATTAGATGAATATAGTACTCATAGAGAGGCGTTGGTTGCAAAACAAAGAGGTAAGATAATTAGATAAAACAACTTACAAATAACCATTAATTTATATTTTCTATGTAACTTTAGGATCATATGTTGAATAAATTGACCTTCCAGTTGAAGAACATGGGGTACCTGGGGACGCCGGGCCAAATGTGATAGCTATCGCCATGTCAGCGACTTTTTTTACTCTGTTAATGAGTATAGGCGCATTCTGCCTTGGCTACAGGAAACGAAGAAAGGAAGCAGCGGCAGCGGCGAGGAACACCGGCTCTTCTGACACCGGACACATAGGTAACTTTTTTACATGGCGATATAACGATGATTGGTCACAAAACAAATATATATTTTTGTGATTCTACCGAGTGCGCCCTACTCGATCGAGATTTTAGGGTGAAGAGGCACGAATGGCGTATTTCTTGACGTCATATTCCTCGTACTAAACGACCATCTTTCTTTCGATTTCCAGACTCAGAGACGCCCTAAAATACTTTTTCCCTTACAAATTTCATAAGTGACGTTGCTTTTTGTGTTTTATCGAGATCAACGTCGNTGAGGTAACACACCTGGCTACGCATGGAGTAACACCTCAGCTTTGGATTTAAAGTAGTTAGAGAGAAATTAAATATTTTGTAGAAAATTTACTCGCCAAAAAAGAATATTCCATATTTAGTGGTAACCCTGTATTTGGTCCTCTCTAATTTGTTATGTGGTTTGGTTTTATCAAATTCCGTTTCCTGGCTGATCGTTTCTATTTCTCACCGATATGGGGAGAATGAATGAATGGCAATATTTATATTTCAAATTCCGAGTTCTCATAAATGTTTGATCTGAAACGATCCCTTCCCAATATAAGGTGGTCATCTTACGTTGTTTTTCATGGATTAAGATTTTTTTCTCGTTGTAAAAATTAGGAAAAATTTTGAAAAAAAAATCCATTCTGGTTATTAAATGTTGCGTTCCCGATAATCTCGTGCTCATATACTTCATGTGCATGTATTGTGGACTTCAGCCTGTTGTGTTAGGAACGTCATTTCATGGTTGGCAATGAAGATTGCAAACTGACATATTTGATTCGAGTTGGGCTGTCTATGGCAATCTTACTTTCAAACTAAAATATTTCATGTAATATATGGTTGGGACACTACTAACAATCAACAGTAACAAAAGTGGTGTTAGAAATGTCTTGTGTTACTTTTATTCACAAACACATATTAAATATACCAATATTCCTATGTCTACAAATAAGGTCGAAGTTCTTGACAAGGACGTAGAAGTTGCTGGAAGAGTATGCCTAGTGTTTAACGACCCTCACATGAAAACCTTTGACGAAAGGTGTGGTATACATAAATATAGGATACAGAGACTTACCAACACATTACTTTGTCTGAATTTCACCTTAATTAGTGAGAATGTTTTCTTTAAATCTAGAATTGTAACTTTTTCTAACGTTGCATATGTATGACCTACTGGTAATATGATTTCAGGTATTACGAATGCCAGTTTCCAGGAGAACATGTCCTTTACAAGCACAAGTCCCTGCCTCTACAGGTATTGAATGCAAAAGACTGTCAATCTTAGCATATTAGGTGTTTTAAAATCATCATCATCCTAGAGTCAACTCCGGAGACCAGTCTTTTATGTGAACACAAATCACCCCCCCCCTCAATGACTAGAGGTATACTTACTTCAATATATATACATATAGTACTCCTTTATCAGATTCATTTGGTCATTAATTTCTGTTGGAACCTCCTTCTTTCCTGTCTCCATTTGCACAAATGTCAAAGGTGTAGATACTGGTTACAGTAAGCTACTTTTGTATTATGTGCTTGCAGAGAACTGCCACGATCAGTCAGCCGCCATATAGCATATATAAAATAGCCTCTTTGTCCGTGGGTTCGTTTTACAACAACTTTAGCATGGGAACGGGCCTATACTTTAGGCAAACTTTGGCCTATTTTTGCATAAAGAACAGTTAGTAGTCCAATAAAAGGAATGGACGTACGACTTGGCTTATTAAGGACTTTATCTTGAACTGGCCAATTTGGGAAGTAAAAATCCTTTGTAAAGCCAGCCTTACAAACTACTATGGCTCCATTGTACTTGTCTTTATAAGGCATATTACAATCCCCTTTCGGGCCAAAGCTGTTGAATATACTGCTGAATAAACAGAATAAGTAAACATATAAAAAGACGAAATTATTCGCTTATTGGCATGTCATTGTACGTTTCACCTTTCTTAAATAAATATATATAATTAAAAGAAGTTATGTTTTTCAATTGACTGGTTGGGAATTCATTTTGAAAAAGCGACTCTCTTTACCCTAATGATCTGATGCGTGATTAGACAGAAAATTAAGTGTCCTTTCTTGCTCATTGTAGGTGAATGCATTCTTCCAAACCTGCCGAAACAACAATGAACCACCATTCTGTAACTGTGGAGTGGCCGTAAAATCTGAAAACGATGTATTTATAATTGACTACTGTAGGCAAACTGGAATACAAGGTCGTATTGCCATGATCGGCTGTGAGAGGGAAACTATGCGCATTGAACAACTTGATGACGGGCGACTGTACAAAGTAGGTATATAATTCCATAAATCTCACAGTATCAAGTCTATAAAAGTGTAATGTATCTAATGAAATAATCCAATAATTTCAGTAAATAATTGTGAAAAAAAAAAAAAAAAAAAAAACATACATGGTGACAGATGCTGTTGCTATTCTCTCATTCATACTTCTTCCTGTAGATTCATTTACCCACTGGCGGCCACGTCGAAGCACAAGTCTTTAACCCGGGCCCAAATGCTGCAATAAATCATATACACATTTACGCAAGCACACTTGATTATAGCAATACATTAGGGCTATGTGGTACTTTGAACTTCGATCCCACAGACGACTTTCATGACGGAACTGGTTCTTCGATTGGAAACGAACGACAGTTCAGGGAAGCATGGAGGTAAGTGTGAAACGTTTTACCTATAGAGGTTACAGACGATGGGGTACATCTAAATGTTAAAGGGTCCTGCATGGTAAATTGATGTGCTGTCATTATTGATCGGATTACAAATGGCAGGTGCACATTGTGAGCTGTGGTCACATATGAATCACTAATTAAATAAGAGAATTGACTCCCAAATATTTATACTGCAACAAGCATGGTTGCCTTCGTTACTTTGCACACTGCCAAAATATGGAAAGGAAACTGACAGCACTGCCACCTAGGGATCTATCAATTTGGTAAGCACATATTTTGATAACTATTTTTAAAAATGGATTTGTTTTTGTTGATAGAGTTAAAGGGAGCAAGGAAAGTCTGTACACAGGGACGGGCGAAACAGGACGGAAAGGTTTCCCTTACTGCACATGTAACGAAGACAGGGTCGCTAACTGTAGCTATATAAATAATGTCCAGTCCTGTGCCGATGAAAAACAGGACATAACAAAAGCACAATATGGACGTTGTAGACAGAGGAGAGATGATCCTGAAGGAAGTGATTACATCCTTGAAGAGCGAACCTTTTTGGAGGAAGATTACGACCCCAGTAACACTGTAAGGATGCATTTTCATGCTTTTGCCTTACAGATTGGTATCAGCGTATCTCGGCAATCATTCTAATACACTTTATCAAGGCTTATTGTCAAAATAACGTACTAAAATATTATATGTCATATTATAAGAATGCTATTCTCTTCCGACTTTTGATAAAGATTTTCCTAACAATATCGCCTTTTTTCTTTGAGTCATTATACGCAAATTTCTAAATGAAACTTTTAATATTCGTCAAATCAGATGGTATTGGATTTTATTTTTTTCCTAATTGGATAATTGTTAAGTATAATTGAAAGTTGCTGTTAATTTGTTAATTTGTTATTGTTTTAAGAGTTTTACTTGGAAAAATGGTTGGACTGAAGAATCGTCCAGGGCGTTCTGCACCAGCTATATCGTAGATAGGACCACTGGGGAAGCTGCTGCCTTAATGAATAATTTAGACGAAGGTGCACTGATAGACGGGTGTGTGGCTGATATCCTGGTAATTATACATAAACATATTTGTTGTTATTGTACATGTAGTTCCTTCATAGGCAATTCATCAGCATAAGCAACTTAATTTAATAACAAGACCGAGAAAAACATATGCACGAGCACCAGGGCACGAGCTCCAGATGTGCACTTTATATTTATTAATGTTCTGATAAAACTTCTAACGTGATAGGAAATCCATGAAGATAAATTGACAGGGGCTTGCCTTACGTGCTACTGTATACACTCCTGCTGAAATGTTGGAATATTTCGGCAATTACCACCTAATTATAATTTCAAATTCACTGTGGTGATTGTTACATAAATTTTTATGTAGCTGGCCGAGGCATTGGCCAATAAACATATTTAAAGCTACGGAAGTGTTCCAAAATTCTTGAGCAATACCAAGCGGTTGATAGATTGTGTACCCTGCATGCTGTCCATGGTTGGACTTATCTCAGCCAGAGAGTCATCAAAAATTGCAGGCACTGGTCGAGGCAGTTCCTCAAAGCATAGGCGACATCATCGTGGCAGCTACGCGAGATACAAACTCTGGGATTGAATGATTAATAACACAGCGTTGTGTTTTGATATCTCTGCTTCCTGAAACATCTTGTTGGAATATTCCATCATTTTAGCAAGAGCTTATTGCCATGCATACGGCTTTAATATGGCTAATACCACGCGATCTCTTGGTGAAAGAATGTCTTTGGGAAGATATGCAATTCAGAGCTTGGTTCGCTGTTGGTGTGCAATTGAATGAATTGAATTATATGTTAATCATATCAATCACGAGGAAATATGTTTATTGCTGTATTTCATAAACAGATGACAGGAGGCACTGAATGGGCCGAATACACCAGAGACGCATTTGTGGCAACCATTGCGGCAGAGTTAGCAAAGAATGTCTCACTGTGGGCAGTAGAAAACGGTTCCAGCGTTGCAGTGCCGCCGGCCGCAATAGCGGCCGCCCTTTGTCCGAGGAACTGCTCCGGACACGGCGTTTGCTCAAACGGTAGGCAGTAATTCAATTCAAATAAAATGTTTCGAGAATGTTCTGGTACGTTTGCCCTGCGTTTTAGGTGGATTAAAAGGTTGGATTTCAAGAACTTTGAAAACAGTGAATGATAACACTTATTCATTTTGGCAAAATGGATTTTCCTGGGGTAAGCGACAATCTTCACGTACCTAACAATGGCAAATGTCTCAAAGTCATATTTCCTATGTCTACATACCCACCAAAGCTGAATCTTGTATCAGACCCTGAAATGACAAAACTTCTCACATTAAAGTGCTCGATGTCAATCTTTACTCCTGAAATGTACATGACGGTGTAAATGACTGAATCTTTTATTAGAAGTACTATAAATTATAGAATCAAAATGCAGGGACAGATATAGAAATGATTCACGAGTGGGAGGAAATTGCTTTCTTTCTTGAGAAATTTTGATTTGTCCGAAAAAGACCGTATATGATACCTTTAATGTATTGAGAACACTACAGAATATGCATGTATTTGCAGGAACATGCACTTGCGCTGACTCGTATTATGGCTATGATTGCTCCATGGATATTAATGCAGCACCAGTGTGTCTCGAGCTGCCCAGCGCCGGGCTGTGTGATGAACGCTCTAGGCCGTGCAGAAAGACACCAGTTTATTGTTCGTCGTTCATCAAAAGCGTGGCCGTTACCTGCAAATTTAAGCACTTTAAGGTATTTGCATTCGGCACTTAATTCCTGAATGATTATAAGAAGATTTATTTAACCCATAACCAGTGAGACGACTTTCGTTAAATTTATTTATTACATATGTGTTCATACCGAGTGTAAATGTTCTTAATGCTTACATATAGTAAATACGATTGCTAACCATACTTTGTTGAAATGCGTTAATCTATACTTGGGAAATTAACTTTGTTGACTGACGCAAAACCTCCATTCCTTTCTTAAGGTAACAATAGCTGCAGTCATACCATCTTCTACCTACAGTGAGACTACCGCAGAATTTATTCATCTGCAAGAGGTAATGTGTCCTTTGCCACACACTTTGTCAAGGAAAAAGAGAGCGGCCATTCCCACCGTCCCCCAGGAGACCGTCCTCGCGGAGGGATACGAAGTGAGCGTCAGCAATAACGCTCAAAACTTCAGCGAACCTAAATACCTCCTGGTTTACGATTCTAAGTGTGTTGACTGCAATTCAACGTTCAATTGCTCGCTTAAGGTATATCTGATATGTAGTTCATAAAAATATAACTAAAAGACAACAACAATCAAACAAACAGAAGCGTTTATTTCTTTACAATATGAGAACATTCCATTGTGCTTTATTAGTATCACTGCAAAATATTAATTTTACCACCTGACTAGTTATGACGTATATACATTATTACCTTTTTGAGATTTTGTTAAATATAATTATAGAGCTATAGATTTACGGATTGGTTTTAATCTGTATATTGACCATAGGGCGAAACCTGTATCATCGGAGGAATATGTTACGTTGCAAACGAGACAAACCCTAATAATCCATGCCAACGCTGTGATCCAGCTTACGACGCTGTGGGATGGTTCACTCAAGTATGTTTGTCACAGAGATATTGCTATTTCACGCATGTGTGTAATAATATACAATTACTGACTTACACAGCCTCACCGCCTGTCATTAAATGAAACGTTTGGGGGATATTTGTAGTGTCTTGTCAGTTACAGTCAGTTGACATACTATAAAGGAAATGTCCTGAGCTGGAGTTGTGACACAAGGTCGAACTGAACTAGGACTGCTGGCTATACCAAAACTTGCATTGAATAAGCTTATATCCACCCCTCTTTCCTCCATTGCCACACTATGACTTTAGGACATAGCTGGAGAATGTGTCAGTCAAAGCTCTTGTTGTGTGTTTCTTACGCTGGCTTTTCACATTGATAATAGCAAGCACGTTCTCTATTCACCAGAACCTCTCCTGGGCATGACCCCTGGGAAGTTGGGAGGCCAAATAATTTTACCCAAATTATTTACATATTTAATCCCCCCCCCAAAATAACTATTACTTTTAATCAGTGCAGACATTTATCTTTTTGCAACATACTAGTAGTTAAAGTAGAAATGATATTCCATACAGAATGATGACTTTGTTTTAGAATTGCCAAATTTAAATAATAGTAGGCACGGTGACAACTTTTGCATCTTAAATGGCGCAGGTGCTCCCTGATTTCTGTTGAGCAGTACATAATGGTTTTGACTTTAACGGGTTCAGACAGACAGTGTCGTATCTAGGGATATTGTTAATTGTGGTGTATTTTACTTTAATTTATGTCTTGCACTTAAGTTTCTTTGATTAAAAATATGCAAACACCCATATCTAGTCACAAATGTTTCAAGGCTACTACGTTTACCTATATATTAGGCTACAAGCTGCTCGATAGATGGCGTGTGTTACCCAGACGGAAACATCAGACCTGGAGTCTCTTGTCAGTACTGCGACTTTAACAAAAACGAAAATGAATGGACAGTTAAGGTACGACGGAATTTAAGATACTAGCAGGTATTACTAAATCAACATATTGGATTATGTCACTCAACCCCTCATTCTGTTCAAACATTTCGAATTTTCTCTGTCACAATAACTCTTTGCTATGTGTGTTTGCAATATTGCACAAGGGTCAGGTTTGTTTTCAGTACCATTTTTGGAATGTTTGGTATACGTAAGCAGCTTCATTGGTATCGTCATATAATGTAACCTGTTGAAATTATTTGTAGAATGGAAGCTGTCTCATAGAAGGTACTTGTCACGCAGACAGGTCGACCAGGCCCGGGTACCACTGTAACGTTTGTGACGTGAGCACCAACGTGTATGCTTGGTCTTTAAAGGTACAGTATTGTCATTTAATATGGAATTTTTTTAATTGAAACAGTACTTTGAATCTTATGTTTTCAACTTTTAATAACCTAGCTCAGCAGTGCCAGTGTGACATCAGTCATATAATTGAATTCATATTTGAAGTATCAATTACAAGACAACCATTAAATCAATTATTTGAATATGGGGTTGTGATGCATTTCAATCGATGGTTCGCCTTGGAGAGTTTCTGATTGGAATTGCCTCATTAATAGCGCCATATAATGTAACCTGTTGGAATTATTTGTAGACTGGAAGCTGCTACATAGAAGCTACGTGCCACGCAAACAGATCGACCAGGCCCGGGTACGACTGTGAAGTGTGTGACGTGGCCACCAACGTGTATGCTTGGTCTTTAAAGGTACATGTACAGTATTGACCTTTTATGTGGAGTTTTTAAAATTGAAACAATCATTTTAATTGTTTTAGTAAACGTCTAAAACCTCCTCAGAGCCAATGTTACATTAGTTCAATAATTGAATTCATCAATGATAAATATCCACAAAATCTCTAAAGGATTCTCAAAAGGGTCCATTTGTCTACTCAGCCCCTGCCCGCACGAAAACGAAGTAGATGCTCCAGCGCAGTAGACTACTGCAATCATACTGCAAACATGCTTCAAATTTGCTTCGATGTGGGAGCTAATTAGCATATTTGAAACATGCTTCTATCATGCTGCTAATCTACTGCATTAATGCTCCTCCTCTGTACAACCCTATGTAATTTTTGAAGTAGAATTGCAGTAGGTTATACTGCATTTCTACTGCAAATATGCTCCACACCACTTCTGCGTTAATGCTTCTTTGCTACTTCGATACTACTGCATTTTCGTGCGGGTGGGTTCTGCAAGTCATTTTTCATTGCAAGTGCTTTATGTGGGTCATCTTGCCAAATGAAATATCCTTTATGTTCCCTTAGCAAACAGAATACGGGTGGTTTTCTATATTCTTGAGTGTGACAAAGTTCAGGTTTTCCTTGATAACTAATGGTGTTTTTAACAAACCACACTGTTGCAAAATGAGTAGAATACATGGAGGGGCTACCTCCTCATTTTTTTCAACCACGTCAACCTTAAACGCATATGCATATGGTCTACTTCAAAAAAGTATTGAAGTATTGTGTCGATCGATACGTCCTACTTCAAGTGAATAATCATTGCACATTTTCATAGCTTTCTTCGTAGGATTTAGTTTCCTATAGAACCTGATATATAATGGTCCTCGCTTCTAGAATAACAAATGCAAGATAAATGGGACGTGCTACGAGGCATGTGAACTCAATCCTCGGAATCTGTCCTCCGTTTGTCACCCAGATACAGATAGATCCTCTTGGAGCCCGAAAGAAGGTATCCATACTTCTCTTGTTTTAAACCTATTCTAAATTTCTTATGGTTTGATGATTTTCAAACAAAATTATTATCCGATGCCACTGTTCTTAAGATGAAGGTTTCCTTGCACAATGGTTTATTTTGACTTGAGACACACTGTAAGCAGCAAGTGTTGTCAAAGTCTTGCGTAGTCAAATGAAGAGTTGAAAAAATCTGTTAAAAAAGATCAATATAATATAAATAGTTAATTTCAAAAGCTTTGGCAAGACAATAAGAGACACACATTAGTTAAACTGTTTGAAATACAGTTATTTTTATGTACATGTATAGTCTGTGGTCAACTAACGACATCGATGGTACATCCTGAAACCACGAGCATGCAGACGACCAGCCAATCTGAAGGGACGTCTCGACACCCTATTACAACAATGGGAAACTCTACTACAGTCGACGACATTGAAAGTACGGGCAACCAAATGGCATCTGGAGATCCCACTACGAGCGGTAAACTCTCAACCGTCGTCGAAACTTCCACCATTGGGCAAACAACAGGAAAATCGTCTTCCACTATTGCTAATGCAAAAGAAACCCCAACACCGACAACTGAGACCCCTCACAGTTTGTACTGGATTATAGGCGCGGCTGGTGGAGGTGCTGTTGTGATTGTAGTTGTCATCGTGGCTACTGTGTGTCTTTGCATTCGCAGCCAAAAGTAAGTAAATAAAAAGAGCAAAGAAATGTAATAAGATCTGTGCTGGCACCCATACTTCTTTACATGGAGTTATGCCCGTGATCATGACGAATGTGTATTACAAGCTTTCCATTTCAAGTGATGAAACCCGACTATGACATCACTGTATTTACATGTATTTTATTAGACAAATGTGTAGCCCTCTCAAAGGCTATTTAACAACACGGTGTTTTCTTCTTTTTGTTTTAGAATAAGACGGTACAGAACGAAGAGCCGAGCAAAAAATAAGGATGCTACGCAGGGGGAGTGTGAAGAAAACAGACAATAGAAAGTGGATCTTACCTAGCATATTAGGAGGTATTCTTTTCTAGCATAAAAGCGAAAGTGAAGTTCCGATATTTCATGCAAAACGTCATATTGGTTTTAAAGGCATACCGAAAGGGTATTCATCTCGAAGAAATTTTCATCTCAGCTGTGGATTGTAATCAGAAAAAAATATACAATCTGTGACTTTATTTTCATAGACTGACACTTAATGTGAAAGCAAAGATAATATTTTAAGCCCTTTCTCGAGCAAACAATAACGAAACAAGCTTCGTCCAAACTGTAATACAAAACGGGTGATCATGGTTTATTGGTATCACATACGAAAGCTTATTTAGTCAAAAGTCATATTGTGTGTGGTAACAGTTTCAAAACAGATGCTTTCAATATGTAAACGGTGATGGTATATAACAGCCTGTTGCTTTTAAATCTTCATCTTCAGTAAGTTTATTGTCGCAAGTTTTCAACCCGTACAGCACAGATCACTAGATTGTTCTGTAGGCAAGCACAGTTAGGGAGTCTAAATGACCTGGAACTTCACAATAGAAAAGTTTCAGTACTGCTTTTGATGCTGGTTAACCACTGAGTCAGTCAATGGTTCTGGTCGGTTCAGTTTCCAGCATTGCTTGTGTGGCGAGACTCTGGTGTGACAGACTGCAGTACTGGAAGTACCAGGCACTGGAAAGGTGTGAAAGGAAATCATGTGCACTCTGTATATTGGTCTTCAAAGCATACAAATGACAAGTGAAATGATATATTTTGTCCATCAAGTTATTGGACACTGCCCATCCTTTTAAATTCTTCGAACATATTTTGCTCCTCCCTGTCTTTTTTCAACAACTTCAAGACAGTAAGCTTTACACGCTCAGATATGGTGCTTACGCTATGACATCCAGTCCACGCCTATTAAAGAGCAGANTTTTTCTGTATTATTGTTGCAAGTCCACAGATATCCTAAAAGCAAATAAGCTACACACATCTACATTTATATGTAAAGTGCCTTTTTTTTTTCGGTAACGCGAAATTGGTTAACAGCACATTCGCGTCACCGGAAATAGGCACGAAAACAAGACCAGCAGAATTTGGAGAAAAGATATGAAATGCTCACCCTCGACGTAACCAGCAGATGACAAACCTTATAACAATGTCTGCCAAGTGTCATCGAATACCGAGGGCAATTTGGTAAGGTAGCCCCTCTTCATTCTATTAGAGGTCAGACAGATGATCCAAGGGAAACCACTTCATTCCCAACATCCGTGTATTGGACCCTGAACCCTGCCACCATACATATTGTGACTTCTGACTAAATGGGCTTTCACGTGATACCAATGACTTTGGTCACCCGATTGGTACCGGTAGACCCCTGTACCTGACGGACAAAACGTTGTCCACATATCCCAGAAAATTATCCTATATATACCTATGTTAAAAGACGGTATCCCAGAGAATACGTACTAATTTAGATTAAGTTTCTGAAAGAACTAACACATCATAATTACACGTTAAATATATTTAAAAGAGCAACAGCCCTCCTCATTCCGTCTAAATGAAATTATAAACCAAAGTTATGACTGGACCCGTTAGATATAGACACGTGTAACCAGGTAGCAACAGTTTTACTATTAATGTTTTTAAAAGATTTCTTTTATCCACAATGCGTGCATGTGCATGCGCGATCTAGTGCATGGTACATACATATATATTTCATGAATAAGCATTAATACAAGATACTCGTGTGCAATTACCTCTCAACAAACTAGTATAACTTAATGTTACAAGTATATCTATTTAAGAAAATTTACGCAAAATCGTGTGCTGACATTCTTGCATTTCTTTTTCTCAGAACTTTACCCATCTATATTATGTACTATATATATAACCAATAATAATACTATATACATGTGTACAATGTAATGCTGTTGCGACATTAATTTCAGTGAACTGCACGTATATTATATTATGTTATTGCACTTATTATAACAGATGCGAGGCATAATAGTGTGGATTTTTGAAATATATACCTCTGTACACTGTAAGCAGCGCTAATGTGCATAAGTTTAACCAGAAAAATAATGGTTTTACTTGATGCTAGACTTTGCACTGCTCCGCCTTATACATGTACAGTAGTAACTCATATCATTGTACAAGTATACTAGCACTGAAATAAAGGCAATTACATTTTTTCTGTATTATTGTTGCAAGTCCACAGATATCCTAAAAGCAAATAAGCTACACACATCTACATTTATATGTAAAGTGCCTTTTTTTCGGTAACGCGAAATTGGTTAACAACACATTCGCGTCACCGGAAATAGGCACGAAAACAAGACCAGCAGAATTTGGAGAAAAGATATGAAATGCTCACCTTCGACGTAACCAGCAAACGACAAACCTGATAACAATGTCTGCCAAGTGTCATCGAATACCGAGGGAAATTTGGTAAGGTAGCCCCTCTTCATTCTATTAAATGTATTAATTAAATCTATAAACTGAATTTTTTTTATTTATCTGGGTATTAGTTCCTATTATTCATTCGTTTAAAGTACCAAAATACCAAAAGCATTTTCCTTAACTGTGGTATCCGGGTTACATTGTATCACGTAAGAAGCAAGAGTTCACATAGTGTGGTTATAACATGACCAGCTCCCTTGATCTTCATCACCAATTTCTTATAACTGGGTCAACTAATGGCTGTGTTTTAGAATGTTAACGTGAAAATTTACTAAAATATTTGTCATGATATGCAATCAGTAGAACCTGTATGCAAGGCAGAAAAGGGTAGTTTCTCATTGCAACCCCACAAACGAAATTTGTGCAAAATTGTTTGAAAATAATAACGTCAGGCCTACCCAACTACCAGACTCGGCACCTAAGGATCNGCTCACCCTCGACGTAACCAGCAGATGACAAACCTTATAACAATGTCTGCCAAGTGTCATCGAATACCGAGGGCAATTTGGTAAGGTAGCCCCTCTTCATTCTATTAGAGGTCAGACAGATGATCCAAGGGAAACCACTTCATTCCCAACATCCGTGTATTGGACCCTGAACCCTGCCACCATACATATTGTGACTTCTGACTAAATGGGCTTTCACGTGATACCAATGACTTTGGTCACCCGATTGGTACCGGTAGACCCCTGTACCTGACGGACAAAACGTTGTCCACATATCCCAGAAAATTATCCTATATATACCTATGTTAAAAGACGGTATCCCAGAGAATACGTACTAATTTAGATTAAGTTTCTGAAAGAACTAACACATCATAATTACACGTTAAATATATTTAAAAGAGCAACAGCCCTCCTCATTCCGTCTAAATGAAATTATAAACCAAAGTTATGACTGGACCCGTTAGATATAGACACGTGTAACCAGGTAGCAACAGTTTTACTATTAATGTTTTAAAAGATTTCTTTTATCCACAATGCGTGCACGTGCATGCGCGATCTAGTGCATGGTACATACATATATATTTCATGAATAAGCATTAATACAAGATACTCGTGTGCAATTACCTCTCAACAAACTAGTATAACTTAATGTTACAAGTATATCTATTTAAGAAAATTTACGCAAAATCGTGTGCTGACATTCTTGCATTTCTTTTTTCTCAGAACTTTACCCATCTATATTATGTACTATATACTACTTCTATGATATAACCAATAATATAATACTATATACATAAAGGCAATTACATTTTTTCTGTATTATTGTTGCAAGTCCACAGATATCCTAAAGGCAAATAAGCTACACACATCTACATTTATATGTAAAGTGCCTTTTTTTCGGTAACGCGAAATTGGTTAACAGCACATTCGCGTCACCGGAAATAGGCACGAAAACAAGACCAGCAGAATTTGGAGAAAAGATATGAAATGCTCACCCTCGACGTTACCAGCAGATGACAAACTTAATAACAATGTCTGCCAAGTGTCATCGAATACCGAGGGAAATTTGGTAAGAAATAGGAAATAGGTTTCTTTTATCCACAATGCGTGCACGTGCATGCGCGAAACCACCGGAAATAGGCACGAAAACAAGACCAGCAGAATTTGGAGAAAAGATATGAAATGCTCACCTTCGACGTTACCAGCAGATGACAAACTTAATAACAATGTCTGCCAAGTGTCATCGAATACCGAGGGAAATTTGGTAAGGTAGCCCCTCTTCATTCTATTAAATGTATTAATTAAATCTATAAACTGAATTTTTTTATTTATCTAGGTATTAGTTCCTATTATTCATTCGTTTAAAGTACCAAAATACCAAAAGCATTTTCCTTAACTGTTGTATCCGGGTTACATTGTATCACGTAAGAAGCAAGAGTTCACATAGTGTGGTTATAACATGACCAGCTCCCTTGATCTTCATCACCAATTTCTTATAACTGGGTCAACTAATGGCTGTGTTTTAGAATGTTAACGTGAAAATTTACTAAAATATTTGTCATGATATGCAATCAGTAGAACCTGTATGCAAGGCAGAAAAGGGTAGTTTCTCATTGCAACCCCACAAACGAAATTTGTGCAAAATTGTTTGAAAATAATAACTTCAGGCCTACCCAACTACCAGACTCGGCACCTAAGGATCCTGAATTAACCGGTATATCGGACCACGCTACCCGCTTTCAAGGTGTGTGTCAGATCTCATTTCGGAGTATCATACCCCAGTAAAAATTTTGTAGCACGACTGCGGGCTCATCCACGCTCGGCTGAACAACCTTAAACTGTACTCTTACTTTAGAGTACTCCATTTTATTGTCTCTATGGGTATAAATGGGGACTTTACGACATTCGGTTTGAATGTTTTAACCACTTTTGATAGGGCTTTTTTGCATTGTATTAGATTAATGTGACAGTCTAAGGTGCATCTAGGTGGCTTTCAAATTTATGCACCCGGTTTTAAAATCATATAGCGATTTTACGACAATCGTTTACTATCCAATCAAGGTGACAGCCGAGCATGCCAGGGCTCATCCTGTCGGTGTTCTGGCTGATACTCCGAAATGCGATCTGACACACACCTTGAAAACGGGTAGTGTGGTCCGATATACCGGTTATTTCAGGATCCTTAGGTGCCGAGTCTGGTAGTTGGTTAGGCCTGAACTTTTGCTGACTCGTCACATCATAATTTTTAGGATGATGAGTCTTATTGAATATTTCATATATAATTTTTTATCCCTAAGGCCATAACATTTAATGCAGGCAACAATTTGCTACATTGTTATTATTGTTAAAATTATTAGGATAGTGAGTTTATATAATAAAAGCGGCCTTGTTTGGCCAAATCACGAACAATCGATAGTCTTTGTAGCCTTCTCTCTTGTTATGAATGGGACTATGAAAGTTTGTGGAACACTGGGATGGAGGAGACATAAATGAAAAAATATTTTGTGATCACCTATATATGCAAAACGGTTAATAGAAGATTTATAACCATAACGTACATTGTATACCTAAATTGATTTAATGAGGGCTGTGACTAATCTTTTCACAAATAAAAAGGATTTCACATAAAATGGAAAATGTGGTCTAAATGTCAATGACTGGAGTTGAAACAAGGAAGAGGCCAATGTATAATTTTTAACAATGCAGATATATTTTCATGAATTATTTTATTACTCACGCTATGTGGGCTTGTCATGATGAGGGCTACCTTATTTCTGTTATTTAAAGCTTGTTATTATCGTGCTTGTTTTTATGAAATAGATGGAATGCGACTGTAAAATCATCTTTCTTGAACAACAGATAGGGTCTTACTGCACACATCTGTCTCTCTTAGAAATTCTAGATATCCATTCATCCTTATCCCTGTACAATCAACGTGTTTTAAAATTACACCAATAGGTTGCTTTCAGTTAGACATTGTGGCTACGACTGCAAATACAATGATATAAAGTTTAAGAAATGCAGACATTTGGTTCAATGGTCCATAGAAGAGACTTTGAAGATTTTATTCATCATTTCTCACATCCAATTGACAACCGGGCATAATGGGCACTGTTCTAAATTGCATCTATTTTCCGAGAGAAAGATGATTCGAATAATTGGTTGCTGTAAATTATTTAGTACCATCGTCATTCGTGCCTGTTTTATTGCAACGTTCCCTTGTAACATTGCTGTTACAAATCCAGCATGCATGCTCATATGCGCGATCTAATGTACGACACGTCAACTTTATGTGTCGGTTAAGACGACAATACATCATTCGTTCATACGAATGTTTATATTAACTGTAGCAGCTAGCACAAACCGAGAGCAACGGAAGGATTGTTAATGGATTGTTAAAGGATTGTTAATTGTTAATGCACTACGTTAGTAGATATTGACCATGTCGTCGAGAAGATTTTTAGTCGCTGTGGTGCCTTTATTCCTGTGCGTTGCGGTCTACTTGTTATTACCACGTCTTATGAGAGGTCCTATATTGACTCCTATCCCATTGTTACCACCTCCAAACCGAAGTGTTCTTAAAGGTAGGACGACTTTTACCTTGTGCATGAATGGTTTTTAAAAATAAAGTAAGCATCAGTCTTATGCACCAGAAAAAAATTTAGATTCTACATATCGATTCGTCACTAATTTTTTATGTTATCTTACTTGTAACAAAAAGCTCTTCTTATCTACTTATCTATTTTTAAATTTTATATAAAACATTATTATTATCTATTTATAATAATATGAATGATAGTAGAATAATAATAATTACTTTTATTATTATTATTATGCTTGCAGGTGGAATTAGGAACATTCAGCATTTACTGTCGCAGTCTTCCTACAACGTATCTCCCATAAAATGCCTCCCAAAAGGACAATGCCAGCCTACCCGACATATTATGTTTCTAAAAGTGCATAAATGTGGTTCATCTACCATGGCCGAATTGTTACTTCGATCTTCACGCAAATATAGGTTAAGACCTCTTCGTCCTAAAAACAAGACATTTTTTTACCCATGGACATCTACATTGGATATGATCCGTAGGAAAATAACCGTGAACGACGCCAAATATGACCCGAAAAAAACGTATGATATCATTTTCAAACACATGTTTTTTGACTCCAAGGTCATAGAAACCATGATGCCAAATGATACGTTTTATATCGGTATAGTTCGCGAACCATTTTCCCATTTTAAAAGCGCCTTCAATTATTATCATATTGCGGAATTTTTCAATATGAAAAACTCCACGAACCCTATCGTGGAATTTATGGAAAATCCATACAAGTATTGGAGCGACGACTATGTCACAAGCCACGTTGGGTTCGTTAGAAACGGCATGATGTATGAGTACGGATTCCCAGATGATAGAACTGATCTCAGGAACGACGACAGATTTATTGCTGAATACATCGGGTTCTTGGAACAGAAATTCGATTTTGTAATCGTCTTAGAAATGTTTGATGAAAGTTTGGTGTTACTACGCCGCTTGCTATGCTGGGACATGGACGACATCTTATATGTTGTAAGAAAGAAAAAGGAATATGAATACAAAAACGTGAACGATGAAATGACTATGAAGAAACATAGGATGTGGAGCAAAGCTGACTATCAATTATATAACCACTTCCTTTCCAAGTTACGGAACACTGTTTTGTCGCAAGGGTCGGACTTTGAGCGTGAGGTTTCGCTCCTCCGTCAAGCAGTCGCGGTGCTCAGCAAATGCACTGGGGGTAATTTTAAACATTTAACGGATTGTAAAAACGAACTTGGCAATCAAATGTCGGGCATATATTCCCGCTGTTAAATCTTCCGCAAGGCCTGGACAACCAAGGTGTCGAAAAATCATGGAAATACATAAAATGGAAATTGTGTGGCGGTCTAGTTGTTAAAGACTGGGGTTAATACAATAATGTATAATTTTAAACTGTTCAGATTTTTTTCGTGGATTATTTTTATTACTCACGCTAGGTGGGCTTGTAGTGATGAGGGCTGGCTTATTTCTGTTATTTAAAGTGTTTATTATAGTGCTTGTCATCAAATGGTGTTGTTTATATGAAATAGTTGGAATACGACTGTATATAGCATATGTGTGTAATCATCTTTCTACAACAACACGAGAGGGCGTTCCCGCACAAAATTGTCTGTCTCAGAAATTCTAGACGTCCATTCATCCTTATGCTTGTACAATCAATGCGTTTAAAAATTACGGCAATATGTTGCTTAGGGTTACTAGTAGACATTATGGCTACGATTGCAAATGTAATAATATATTTTAATTAAGTGCAGACATTTGATTCGATGCGGCAATTGATCCATATTGATCCAAGTTCCCCTTACCAAAAGGCCGCATGGTCTCCCAACGCTGCCCCGTATTGTCGAACAATAGTGGCCGCATGATAATTACAGGGTAGGGGAATTGGCAGGTAATCCTTATTGGACACCCAAATTAGTCGGTTCAACGAGCACGGTCTGCTCCTTCTTAATTGCCTCACTTAAATTTTCTATTATAGCTGATGCAAAGAGGTTGCTATCGACACGAGCAAACAATGCCGGGTTATGTTGTATCAACTGCAACAGATGACTAGATTAAAGGCAGATGGAATATGAGAACGAAACTCTGAAGAACAAATCGGGCTTAGTTTTAACACGAAAAACAATTTTATTTGACGTTCACTTGATGATAATAAGTCACGATCAACACAAGCGTAGTTAAAATGAATAATTTTAAATAGCTGATACATCAAATAAATAACAATGTCTCAATATTTTTTTTATTACATTTGGTGCTAGTTTAGTAGCCTGATGCACGACCTTCTCTCTCAATTACCGCTGGAATCACCTTCTTTAGGTGATTAATATATTTAATTCACTTTTCTGCGTTAATATTTTCCGATGCCTCTCTAATGCCTTCAACAAGTTGTTCTCTCGTGGTCGGCTTAACACGCGTACGCATGTGGTATTTGATTTCAGCCCATACGTTTTCAATAGGGTTGAGGTCCGGGCTTTCTGGAGGGGTGCGAAACCAATTAATACCATGCTGCTCAATAAAATGACCTGTTCGCTCAAAGAGACGTGTTTTTAGTTTTGAGGCCACCAATTCATCATTCTTGGTCATCTCCTCGTCTATAACGTTCATGTGGCGCAGGTCAACCTTTGAAGGACGTCCACTGCGTGTCTTATCGGCAATACCAAACCCTTCGTCGTATTTCTTTAACACATAGTAAATGGCTTGTCGTGACACTTTATGGCCTTAATTTTCAGTGAGATAAACATGTCATATTATACAAAATACTTACTGGCCATTTAGGAAGTCCAGATACACAAACAATCCTGTTGACACATGTCAGATGATTGAGAATTAGGTTAAATTGTATAGTTTGGATTGAAGAGCGACATCGCAATGTTAACATTAATTTTAGACGACGCGTGTCACACAGTAGTGATTATGTAATAGTCAGAGCTAAATCGCTGTGTTTACCCGGCATGAATAAAGCTAACCTGAACCAAGGAGTTATAACAGAAGGAGATTACACGCGTGGGGGCGGAGCCCGTATTACGGTCTCTCATTGGTCGGAATGAATAGAACCCAGAGAACAATGGATGTCTATCTCTGTTACGCTTAATTACTCTCGTTTAAATCTCGTTTGTTAGTATCTGTGCCTTCGTCTGTTGATTTTTGAGGACAGAAACAGAAACGGAGTCCCAAGTTTCTAAAAAATGAGAGAAATACAGAATTTATATGATAGTACGTTGGACAAGGTTTTCAAAAAACAGGTAAGTGCTTTTAAATGCATAACTACACGAAATATGAAGATAAATTGCAACTTTTATGTCGTAGGGTCTCACTGTGTAAGTGTCCAGCTACACGTTGATCTCGCGAGGTGGTGTGTGGAGAATAAATATTGCACGAAAAATATTTCCCACTCATAACAAGTGCCTATAATTATAGTATCAGATGAAGAAAGTTTGGTCTTTATACAGTTACAATTGTTAAGTAATTTGTGGCAATAGCAAAGAATAAAACTTA